AATACATTTTGAGATTGAGTTAAAATTATTACTCCCATTTATTTTAATTTATGTAAAGATATTCAGAGCACAAGAGTCAAACACTTATTGACAGAGTTAAAAAGAATCTTCTAATTATTTAATTAAATTTAGATACACCCTTGATCTGTCACATGACATAACAAGTGGTTTCAAATTCTTATACGAGCATGAAACTCTTAATAAAAAGTCAAGAGAAGTGTTGAAAATACCCAAAACTTGGCGAAAAATTAAGGTTGTATTTCAGTTATATATGTTGCAAGATCGGATGTGTATTTAAGTTAGTCAAGTAAAACGGTATTTTTAAAGTTGTCAATAGTACGAGGATGAAACTAATAATTCGTGCCGAGATTAAGAATGTTTTTGGCAATTCTTTCTAAATTTAATTATAAATTTGGATATAAATTCTTCAAATATTTATAAATAAAATTTTATATATTTGAAAATTATATTTTAAAAATATTACACACAAGTTAATATAACTAATTTTTTTTAAAAAAAAGAAAAAGTTATAGTAAAAAATATTTGACCTCCTCAAATATAATATTATCTTCACATAAATTGAGACGAAATACAATTTTAAAATGTCTAATCTTTAAGCTAACGCAACCTTAATGGATGCATGCATGACTATTTAATAAAATCAAAAATTGAACTGCGTAATGTAGTTGGAAGTTGAAATTTGAAACTTACAAATGAAGTGATATTTTGCTGAATTCTATGAAATAAAATTTGATAAAACGTTATGATAGTGAGCGTAACATTCGTTTGAGGCTCACTAGCTTATAAGCTTCTATCAAAATAATATGTCAAATTTCCTAATTAGCGATGCTCAAATTCTTTAACAAAAAAATTAAAAATTCAATTCATTTTACGAAATATGAAGTTTCAGAATAACTCAAATAACAAATTGCATAGTTGCTAATTAAGAATATCATAACAATGAATATCATTTGAACATTTTTTTTCTAAAAATAGTTAGATATATAACAAAATTTATATCTACATTTTCTATTGATTTTCATGTTTTAATTTATGCTTCTCAAAACTATGAGACTTTTATATTTTGCTATTTAAAAAGCACTTTTATCTTTTAAATAGAAAAATTTAAAAAGCACATTTATCTACTAATAATGTTTATGGATTATTTACTTTAAGGGAGGTAATATTTATAGTTTGATAAAAAAAAATTAATGTGAATTTTCAATTGTTTGAAAATTAAGACAAGTAGTTAATTTGTATCTTATGATTGTAGACATTGAAATTTTGCGGACTCTACAAGACGTGTTCAATTTGAATTGGGATTCTAGAAGGTGTGTTCAGTTTCAATTAGAATTCTTGGAGGCTACTCAACCCTAAACCCTAGTTTATGCCTATATAAAGGGTACTAAATTCCCTTAAAAGACATCTCAAAGATCCCATAAACTCTTGGGTACTTTTAAAGAGATCGAAGATCTCGAATATTCATTGTACCCGCAATCTTGATAAGTAAAATTATGTTTCTTCTTATTTTTTTGTGATTGTAATTTATTTTAAAAATTTGTTGCAAACAAATTGGCACGCCCAGTGGGACCAAATCTGCCCTTCATCTCTTCTCTCTTAAATCAAATATGAAAATCTGAAGCTGAAAAGGTGGAATAATGAGTAATTCAAGCCTCGTCTTTGAGTTTCATCGAGTTTACACTCCGACAAGCCTTGAAGCAGGGGGCATTTGTAGACATTGAAATTTTGCGGACTCTACAAGACGTGTTCAATTCGAATTGGGACTCTAGAAGGTGTGTTCAGTTTCAATTAGAATTTTTGGAGGCTACTCAACCTTAAACCCTAGTTTATGCCTATATAAAGGGTACTAAATTCCCTTAAAAGGCATCTCAAAGATCCCATAAACTCTTGGGTATTTTTAAAAAGATTGAAGATCTCGAATATTCCACAAATTGATGGAATTTTCATATAGAGGTCAAATCTAAATTATCCTAGTTCAAGAAATACACCACTAACGGCCCTCGAATCATGGATAAATCTTGGGAGAGTAGAATCAAGGGATCAACATAATTGTACCCGCAACCTTGATAAATAAAATTATGTTTCTTCTTATTTTTTTGTGATTGTAATTTATTTTCTGTCACTTTGAAATTTGTTGCAAACAAATTGGCACGCCCAGTGGGACCAAATCTGCCCTTCATCTCTTCTCTCTTAAATCAAATATGAAAATTTGAAGCTGCAAATGTGGAATAATGAGTAATTCAAGCCTCGTCTTTGAGTTTCATCGAGTTTACACTCCGACAAGCCTTGAAGCAGGGGACATTTGTAGACATTGAAATTTTGCGGACTCTACAAGACGTGTTCAATTCGAATTGGGACTCTAGAAGGTGTGTTCAGATTCAATTAGAATTCTTGAAGGCTACTCAACCCCTAAACCCTAGTTTATGCCTATATAAAGGGTACTAAATTCCCTTAAAAGGCATCTCAAAGATCCCATAAACTCTTGGGTATTTTTAAATAGATCGAAGATCTTGAATATTCCACAAATTGATGGAATATTCATATAGAGGTCAAATCTAAATCATCCTAGTTCAAGAAATACGCCACTAACGACCCTCAAATCATGGATAAATCATCTTAGGAGAGTAGTATCAAGGGATCAACAGAATTGTACCCACAATCTTGATAAATAAAATTATGTTTCTTCTTATTTTTTTGTGATTGTAATTTATTTTCTGTCACTTTAAAATTTGTTGCAAACAATGATAACTTTAAAATTATTATATTATCTATACTTATTTTTCGGTAAACAATTTTATTATTTACCAAGTAAACTTTACAACTTTACAACTCATACATGGTCCCCTAATTAAAAACATGTCCTATCTAACAAGTTAGATGCAATTTATTTTTTGTTTAAAAAAATCATTTTCTATTTGAGATTTGACTATAACATGTACACACATGACACATACAGGTGTAAAATCAATCAAGAATATAATTTATCAAATTATGAAATTAGAGAAATCTTACTTTTTCTAAACTACATTGTTGAGGGAAATATATTTTAAAAATACAAATCTGAACAACTTGAGATTTTTGGTCAAAAAAGGAAAAGTCAACAAATATTTGTTCCCGTCCATTTTCATTTTTATAATTAAAAGAAATAGTGTACGTGTTCGAAGAGTAAGATGTCATTTGACTTACATGTTCAACTATATTTTTCCGTCTCAAATTAATATTTATGTTTTATTTTATGAGAGTCAAATAAAATTGGTCTTCAAAGTATATTGATATACTATAAAAATTTAAATTTTATGATTTTAAATATATTACAAAAAATTTACCAAAAATATAAATATTTTTTCAAATGAATTAAAAAATATAATAAACAAATTAAACTAAGTCAAATTTCGATCTTAAAGATGGCTTATAATTATAAAATACACTTAAATCTAATTATAAAAAATGTGTAGATATTCTCCATTTTGTCTGCACGATTAAGGTTTTAAGTAAATATAATGTACAGCGATAATATAATTAATTTTTGTCACTTTCTCATCTGCAGCCAAGTCAACTATTTATAAATCACCAATCATAATGCGAAACATTTGCCTAACATGGATCTATGATTTCTTCGTTATCTCGTCTCAGATTATCTATCGTAATTTTATCATAAATATAATTATCTTTATTTACATTTTAGAAGTTTTAAGAAAAGAATAGTTAATTTTTTCATTTAATCCTTAATAATAACTATTTTTGAAAATTACAAATATTTTAACTATGAGATGATATTACGATTGTTCAAATATTAATAAGGAACATAATATATATATTTTTAAAGTCTTAACTTGTGTTTCTTAGAAGCGTGTAAAATAAATTACAACAAATGATTTACGACAGAAGGAATATTATAAAATATATATGTATGTCAAAATTATGCAGTATTTATATCAAACAAACAATTTAGCTTTAGAAAATAAAATTTTAATAAGCTACAAATAGTGATAAATAGGTATGGCAATTGGCAATGACACGAGACATATTTAATAAATTAAATTACAACTAAATTAGACCAATTTTTTTTTTTTAACGAAAAGAAAACAAACTTTTTTGTTTAATGATATATACATTGTATACTTAAATTCTTAGCTAGTTTGGGGAAACATTAAATTTTCAATAAAAACTCCAATTAATATAATTAATAGATGTAGATTTGGTCTTTGGGCTCTAATTAAATGGAGATGCTTATTTCTATGGTGTTAGGGTAGATATAGAAAATAAATAAAAACTCCATTTGGTGGAGATTAATTGAGGGTTAATTAAGAGAAATTCAAACAATGAAACTTTGCCAACTATGTACATTTTTATTTTATTCAAATAGTACACTCGAACCTTTTTATAAATCATTGTTTATTTGTATATAATAGGAAATGTTATTATTAGAACATATAATCAGAGGCGGAGTTAGGTGGGGGTTCATGAGTTCGGACGAACTCACTAGCTTTTTCATAGACCCTATATTTATATTAGAAAATTAATTAAATATATATTTATCAACATGTGAACCCCTAAACAAAATTGATTTAGAACCCCCCAAACTCCTAACTTTGGCTCTGCCTCTGCACATAATAACAATCAGCTCCATGAAAAACGTAATTATTATAATAAAATATTGTTATCGATTGAAGATAATCACTATTATAAAGGTCAGATTGATTATATACCAGAAGTAACTTTCAAAATAAACAAATAATTTTTTCCTTCATTTATTTAACGTAATGTAAACACCTGGTGCGAATAAGTATGAATCAATAAGACCATTTTCTCCATCCCCTCACACCTGGCCTAATTAACACATCTACATAATTAGGTCTAGTGGTCTCCAACAACTCCCTCCTCCTCCTCCTCACATGCAAGGTTTATATAAATGGTACTCTATTCTATTACTTTTAATGAAAACTAGAGCAACACAACAACACACACAACAAAAATAGAAAAAAAAAATGGGAAGTTATTTAGAAGAGGGATTGTTAGTAAAAGAGAAATTATTAGAGGAAAATAATATTGAAGTTGTGTTGACAGATCAAGAAGTGAAATGGGATGTTATATGGATGGAAATAAAGAAGATTGGTTATTTGGCTGGGCCAATGGCATCAGTAACACTATCACAATATTTGTTACAAGTTATATCTATGATGATGGTTGGTCATTTAGGTCAACTTTACCTATCTAGCACTGCTATTGCTGTCTCTCTTGCTACTGTCACTGGCTTAACTCTTCTTGTATGTATATCCATCTCCTCCTTTTTTATTTCACGTTGTTCGGACTCTTCAAAAATTCATGTTGTTGTCATCGCATCTGTGTCTGATCTTTTAAAGATGCACTGTCTTTAAAGGATCTGACAGTACGTATCTTCTACTGACATTTTTAAAGAGTCTGAATAACATAGTACAAAACCATTATCTTTTGTGTTGAAGATATGATAATTGCTTCAAAAATTATGTTATGTATCTTATCTTTAAAAAATACACTATTTTTGAAGGATCTGATAGTACGTGTCTGATGACATTTTTGAAGAATCTGAGCAACATAGTGCAAAACCATTGTCTATGTGTTGAAGATATGATAAATAAGTAACAATTTCATTATTATTAATATTAATAATAAGATTAGTTAGATCAGATGGCAGGTTACACCATTCAACATATTAAACAATGCCTACTTGTGCTGGTTAATGAATCTATGGAGATGAATTTGAATTTAAATCATGAAGTTTTTTTATTTTTTGCTCTATCATTTATTTTTTCCAAAATAAAAGAGACAAAAAAAGAAGAAGAGGAGTTTGAAATATTCATATATTACTAAAATATGAAAGCAAAATAAAGTATCGCTATCAGGTAGCTGCCATATCATTAATGAGTACTTCATCCGTTTTAATTTGTTTGTCTAATTTTCTCTTGATACGAAATTTTAAAAAGTAAAAAGTATTTTTTTAATTTTTTTTTCATTTCAATGTAACTTGACGAAATAAAAATGACATTTAAATTTATAATCTTATACTAAAAATACGTAGAAATAATGTACTAAAAAGAAGCATCAACAGAGAAAAGGGCCCAAAAGATTTATGCTTTTGTTGTCTCCTGTTTCTTTGGCAGTTCCCACTATACATGAATCGTTTGGTAGCCGGTTAGGAACTAAGTTATTTATCTAAGTAATATCATATTCGGTAGCATATTATCATTCATTTGCTATGTATAAAATTTAATAAATAGAACATAAATAAAAAAAAAATTATACTAATACTGACATAACTCTTATACGCAGCCTAACGATCGATTATATAAAATTAAATTCAGCATAATAACGTTAGGTAGACAAACTTAAGATTTTTGTACGACGTGTTTATCAATTTGGTCATGGTCAAAACAATTGACAATAATTATCGGCTGCTTTTTTTTTTTTATAAAGTTCAAATACTTTTGTTTTTACACGTTATCCATGTTTAAATCTAGAAACAAATTCGTCCTAATTTGAACTAAATAAACAATTAAATCACCTAATTATTTGTTGTAACTTGTACATAGAGAGTACACAAATATAGTACTACTATTCTTTTTCCAATTTATTAGGTGGAGATTTGACTCTTTTACCCTTAATTATGTCATAGGGTGTAGTCTCTCTTGGTTGATTATTTAATCTATTTGTATGTTATTACCTCATGATTTAGATGTTTATAGTCTTGTCAAGAACAATTACTATAAAGGGTAAAATGGGAAAGAATAATTAATTTTGTGTTGAACTTGTAAAATGATAATAATTTAAGATAATTATTATTTGAGACGGAGTGAGTACTATATCTTTTTCAATTTCTGTTGTGCACTTTCTTTTTTGGTCTCTCCTAAAAAGAGCGCCATCTTCTCTTCCTCTTTTTCTTTTGGGTATCACACCGTTTGTTTGGTACCTGCATCGGTTTCCACTTCATCACAACTCTTATTGGTAAGAGAATCACATTTTTCTATATTTAGAAATAATTTAACTTAACAATCTTCATGCCACAAATAGGAGTAAGATCATATATCCACCTTCCCCAATTCCCACTTATGAAAATATACGCGGTATATTCTTGTTGATAGGAACAAATTTATGTGTAATTTATATGGCACGCAAGCCCGTGAACTTTCTTCACAACTAGATATTTTACGTACATATTTCTAGAATTGATCTAATACCACACTTCAAAAAGACTTGATGGTGCACTTAGTTAAAACTTAAAAGCTTAGTTATTTACCAATAGGATCAATTCCCACTTAATGTATTTTTGTTCTTTCAGCAGTGCACTCATATTATAGAAATCCTGGTTATTGCTGTTATATTCTTAATGAAATGACGTACAAATATCTAAACAAAATAAAATCTCTGTTTTGAGGGAAAAAAATATGTAATATCAAGTTGCATATCACATATACTTAGCTGAAAAAATCACTTGTAATTTTGCAGCTAGGAATGGCAAGTGCACTAGAAACACTATGTGGACAAGCATATGGAGCTAAACAATACAAGAAAATTGGAACACAAACATACACAGCTATCTTCTGTCTATTTATTGTTTGCATTCCCCTGTCCATGTTATGGATATACATAGGACGATTACTCGTATTCATCGGACAAGATCCTCAGATTTCACATGAAGCTGGAAGATTCATAATGTGTTTAATCCCAACTCTCTTTGGTAGTGCAGCTCTTCAGCCCCTCATTCGATATTATCTAATGCAAAGTATGATCTTTCCTTTAATCATAAGTTCATGTGTAACAATAGCTATTCATGTACCACTATGTTGGTTACTAGTTTTTCACACTGGCTTCAAGAATATTGGGGCTGCATTCGCAATGGACATATCCATTTGGTTAAATGTCACAATTCTCGCGTCATACATGAGGTTTTCCCCTGCTTGTGAGAAAACTCGTGTGCCAATTTCATCAGAGATTTTCTATGGAACGAAAGAGTTCTTTCGTTTTGCTATCCCTTCAGCTGTCATGATATGGTATGTTTCACTAGTTACCAAAACTTATTGACTAATTGTTAGACAATTGTATAATGTGTTTCTTTGATGTAGTCTTGAAGGATGGTCATTCGAGTTCATTGTGTTGTTATCCGGGCTATTGCCAAATCCTGAGCTTGAAACTTCAGTGCTATCTGTATGGTAAGTTTATCGATCACTGTAACAGTTTAAGCTTTTAGATGAAACAGACTGTAATAAGTTCGTTCTCTGACTTTCTTCTTGTGACATTCTGTTTTACAGCCTCAACACTATTGCTACACTTTATTCAATTCCATATGGTCTTTCTAGTGCTGTAAGGTATGAACTTATAAGATTCTAATGGTATGTTATATTTGAGCATTGAGGTTCTAAGTTCTAACGTTTCGTTTAATTATCAGCACGAGAGTTTCCAACGAGTTAGGAGCTGGAAATTCACAAAGAGCGCGTATTTCTGTTTTCACAGTGATGCTCCTTACAGTAATGGAGGCTATACTAATAAGCGCGACTCTATTTGGTTGTCGAAACATTTTTGGTTTCATTTACAGTAGTGAGATGGAAGTTGTGAACTATGTAGCAAAGATTGCTCCACTTCTTTCATTATCTGTCATAATGGATGCCTTACAAGCTTCTCTTTCAGGTTAGACATTTTACTAATCATCTCTCTATGTAGTACTTTTAATGTTTTATTTGCACTCTTAATCTCTCTCTCTCCTGAGCAATTCACGTATCACTTGAATAGTAGTAGTATGAAACTTTAAGAAAAGGCGAGTTGAGAAAAGAAGGATCCGTTTGAAGAGTTTATGTTGTGTTGCTAGTTGCTAGGGAAAATGCAATATGAAAGAGTCCTTTAGAATATGAATGAGATGAAAAAAAAATGTTATGATGAGGCTCGAGTAGAAGAAGGGGTACTTGAACAGATGATCGTCTCAGACTAGTGAAGATTAGAATTGAGTTGGTGCAAAATGTGGTTTCTATATATAATATATTGTTAATGTGGATTGATTCATTTTTATTTTTTATTTTTTTGTAGGTGTTGCTAGGGGGTGTGGTTGGCAACATATTGGAGCCTATGTCAATCTTGCTTCATTTTACCTATTTGGAATTCCTATAGCTCTTTTATTGGGTTTTTGGTTAGAACTTAGGGGAAAAGGTCTATGGATTGGCATATTATGTGGTGCAACACTTCAAACTATTCTCCTTTCTATCATTACAAGCTTCACTAATTGGAAAAAACAGGTACTTTTCCACCTTCGTTAGAAAATTATTCTGTATAGATAGGTCAAACATTTTTTTTTTTATAAATACATATTAAATCATGAACATTCTTGACGAAATTCCCGACTTGCCATGCACCATGATTGCTAAGTCTTATGTGTTGATTTCATTTAACAGGCAGAAATGGCAAAGGAGAGGCTTCTTGAGCTAAAATGAGTTTACAACAACATGATGGGGTAAAAAAGATTAGAAAAAAGAGAGCTCAATTTTGACAATTTATATTTTGGAGATTGTACCTAATATTTGTTGTGTGGTCATCAAGTTTATATCTTCAAGCTAGTGTGATCTTCTACAAGTAATATGGTCAATCACATCTTTATAGAGTACAACTTATAATTTATTTTATTTGTATAATCACAAAATTGTGTCTTGAAGTGTGAAGGTCTACAAGTAATAAATCTTTTAATGTAGATTTGTATCTAGATGTATCACTTGTGTGGTCACCAAATTTCATTATTGAAGAGTGAGATTTTTTAAGATTGATATGGGATTTGTCCTTGTTTGTATACTCACCAATTTGCACATGACAAGTAATATGTATTGGCCTCATTTATGTTAGATTCTACTTAAATTTGTTCATCCACTACTCAATTTGAGTCTTTAATTATTAGGGTATGTAATTCGAATTTCTTAAGTTCGTATTTTTTTTTGTAAACACAAAAATCTCATGTGTTGTGAAAATTATTGTAAAATTTTTAATTCTTTTATAATCTTATCAAATGAGCAAATCATAGTTCACAAACAAGATATTAAAAATATCCTAAGGCGCCGCATTGATAAATAATAGCTCTATGTTCCTTTTATAAATAAATATTTGCGATTACAAAACTTTCAAATATACATAATTTCATAAAGTTTCACTAGTCAATAATAGTAGTAAATAGTTTTTTTTTAATTGATGGTTTTTTTTTACAAAATATAAACCTGTAACTCAAGTTTTACCTTTAATATTTTTTTTTTGTGTAATCACGATTTAGAATTTCAAGTCATACTTTTTGGAGAATATGAGATTTGAAATCAATCACGATCCTGTATATCCAAACACTGTTATGAAATTATGACTCTAAATAACACCTACTTCTATGTGTTAAAAAATTCAAAAAAAATATAAATAAATAATACATTTCAAATCTAGATATTAATACTTGAGATCACAATCTTAGAATTTTGGCCTACAAAAATAAATTGTCCATGGAAGAATCAAGAATGAGTTGTTCTCTTATCTTTTCAATTTGCTGCTCAACAGTATCATCACGTTCATCCTCAAGGTCAACATAAACGTCTTTTCTCTAGATGTATCGTCAACGATAATAACATATTCAGTACAATTTTATAAGTTAAATCAGATGAAAGTAAAATATACGTAGACTATATTTATATTCTTATAAGGTAGAAAAACAATATGCGATAGACTATCAACTTAATTCTATAATAACATACTCGCTATAATTTTATAAGTTAGATCGGATGAAAGTAAGATATATTTAGACTATATCTATATTCATACAAGGTAGAAAAACAATTTTCGATAAACTATCAACTTAATTCTAGATGCATCACCAACAATAATAACATACTCACTACAATTTTATAAGCTAGATCAGATGAAAGTAAAATATACGTAGATTATATTTGTATTCTCATAAGGTAGAAAGGTAATTTTCGATAGACTATCAACTTAATTCTAGATGCATCTCCAACGATAATAACATACTCACTACAATTTTATAAGTTAGATCAGATGAAAGTAAGATATATGTAGACAATATTTGTATTCTCACAAGGTAGAAAGATAATTTTCGATAGACTATCAACTTATATAATTTTAGATGCATCACCATCGATAATAACATACTCACTACAATTTTATAAGTTAGATCAAACGAAAGTAAAATATATGCGGACTATATTAATTTTCTTATGAGATAGAAAAATAATTTTCGATAGACCGTAAACATAATTCTGGATGCATCATAAGAAGACCAAAACTTTAGTTTAAGGTCCACTTAATTAATTTAAGAGGGGAGAAGAATTAGAAGTGTTTTTTTTACTATTTATCTGTCTCACTTATTCTTTCATACATAATATTAGTTACAGTATTTCTTTTGCAATAAGAAGTTTCGTAACTATATGTTTTTTGTATTTTGATTATTGTATTTGTTGTGATTATTAATATCGTTCAGGATTTTACTTAGTTATGGCTTCTTCATTTCCGTTATTTCTTTTGTTGTATTGCTTTATATTGTTTTTTTTTCTTGATGAGATTATACAAAATATTCTACCTATTTTAATGTAATTCGTGATTTTGTTTTTTACATTGTTGTTAAATAAATTCAAGGTGAGGTGTCAAAAAGTATATGTTATTTGTGGATGACAGTCCGATTAATGAGATTTGCGATGGAGCTAACGTCAAGTGGAAAGTTTGGAAACAAACCCTGTAGTTTAAAGTATTCAAGTTGAGCAACACCAAGACTGAATACTTGAAGTGCATGTTCAATGACGTAATACATCAGACGGGTGTGAAAGTGAGACTTGATACATAAGTCATTTAAAAGGGAGGAAGTTTCAACTATTTTGAATCTATTATAAAAAAAAAAAAAAAAAAAAAGGGGAGATAAACAAGGACGTCACTCAATGTATTGGTGTAGAATGGATGAAATTGAGACTCGCTTCTAGAGAATTGTGTAATAAGAAAATGTCATTAAGGCAAGTTCTACATACTATTAGTTAAAACAACTATGTTGTATGGAAAGGAAGGTTGGCCACTCAAAAACTCACGTTCAAAACTTGAAAGTTGCGAAAATGAGGATGTTGCGATGGATGTGTGGGCAAAGGACAAACTAGGGAGATAGGATTAGAAGTAAGGATATTTGTAAAACGACTTCGGAGGAGGACAAGATGTGAAAAATGAGATTGAGATCATTCCAATATATTAACAAGGGATGTATGAATCCCGCAAGGTGGAGGTGTAAGAAGTTGACTTTCTATAGATGGTTTCACAAAAGGCAGGGTAAATCAAAGAAATATTGAATAGAGGTGATTAGATAGGACATGATGCAATTCCAACTTACCAAAGACATAACTTTAGGTAAGAAGTTATGAAAGACACAAATTAGGGTAGAACGAAATCCGCTCATACTAGCACTTGTAATATTGCTCCTATAGTTTCTTGTCCTTCAATTTCTATAGACTATGGGTATTGTTTCTCAAGTCAACCACAAGAAAAATAGTAGTGAGTGCACTCCCCTTGATGGTAGACTAGAGCTATGTTAGCTTGAAAACCACTAATATTAACAGCATCTACTTTCAAGAAGCACTGTCAAAGATGCTAGATGTATCATACCTCATGCAAGAAAACATAGTCTGAACTCTCTTTGTTCCAAATTAACTGTGCTTCCTATTGGTCAAGGCAGTTCTCAGAAACTTGTACCACCCATAGACTCGATGATCTTCGAGAGAACAATAGCCCTGGAGGGGGAAATGAGGTAAGAAGTGGAGGAAGAAAGAGATAAAAACTCTACTCGTAAGCATGATTTACGAGTTTCTAAGAACTTTTGAGAGCCATGCAAAGTAGACACAATTTGGATGGGAATAATAAAGTCCAACTGCAATGAGGAGAGGGTAAATTTCGAGTACCTGGATATAGAACTGAAATTGCAAAACTTTCAAGTTACAACATACACTCTGTAAAAAAATTATTTAGGAAAGAACCTGCAAACTGAGGCAGCACAAACAAGGCATTTACCAACCTGTGACCTAGTGATAAAGAATTGTGGTTCACTATATTTTCAACTGTAATACCTAAACTAGGAAGAAAACATGTACAGTTAAAAGGTAATTGGTATTTACAAGAGGGTTGGTTACCCGAAATAACACAAAGGAATAAAGAATGGAGTTACTGCAGAAACTCATTGCTGTTTTTTCCTCATTGTACGATGTAATTGCCATGACCATGCAGCCAAACATAACACAAGGCCAACGCTAGTGCATGTCCAGAAAATTACTAACCAATTGGGCATGGGGTCAGGAAACAATCCTGAAGGATAGCAGAAAAAGATGAGATTAACTGTTAATACACAAATTGATAAGACACCAAAATGAGGAACTAAGAATAGAGTGGAGTACTGACCATGTCCGAACTTGACGCAGATTAAGAGTTCAACAATGCAAATAGCTAGTGAAAGCCAGCAATATGCTCCCACCTTTTTTACGGGTGTCCTGCGTATAATTGTGGAGTATTGGGGGGAAAAGTGAAGTCACGTTAAAAACAGAATTTGGGAAATGGAAGAAAAATATAGTGCAATTCATAATTCTTGTAATAAAATAGGTAGGAGATACCTGTCCTGTAGGTAAGTGTTGTACTCCCGAATTGTTGGTATTGCAAGTAGCCACCACAGAACCAACCTATACACTATCAAAGGGTTTCTAGGAGGAATCCAAAGACAGAACTTCAAAAAGAATGTATTCAATTCCACAGTCAAGAAAATAACACAGAGAGTGAGAACTTGAAGGAATCGCCAGGGACCAAGGAGGGGACGCCATTCATCTTTATCCCAATGTGCAGGTGTAAATTGGCCAAGTGTTCGCTTGACCTACAAAACCCAAAAGAAGATAAAAATGTCGAACAATAAACTGTTCATATGACTGTCAAACTATAACTTTCACATTCTTCCTAGGTTTCAAAAATCTGTAGTGCTTAAGTCAAATATAGAATATGCCAGAAGAGAGATTTAGTTTACAAACACCGACTCCACAATAACCAACTCAGATACTCTCTAGTGTCAGGGTTGTGCCAGAAGCTACAAGTACCCAACTAGAATTACTAGCACAGTTATGTCAAGATCTTCCAATCAACTACTACATCTCAGATCCAAACTATTTGGTGAATGAATTAGAAGTCCAGAACATAGAGTAACTGGATGAGGCATTGTCGCAGATATTGATCCAGAATCTAACTAAAAGAATTTGAAAGCAAAAGTACAGCTCAATATGCGCATAACATCCTGCAGAGAGCTATACAATAAAATTCAATCCTCTTTCTATGGAGGTTAAGTCGAGTCATAACTATATCTCACTTAAGATATTCTATGCAGTATGATTAAATAATGACCAATAATTGAGGTTTTCATGATTCCTCACTGGTTTGAGAAAGATGGACACATAAAGCAAACACCTGATAACAACAGATTTTCCCGGAATAATTTGTATTCTACCTCACGATAATCACCTACCCTTTAGAAGGTGATATATTTCCATTATATTAGTAGTTAACAATCAGGGCTGATTCCCGCAGGAATAAAGCAGGATAATTACAGGGTGAAGAGGCTATCAGCAACAACAATTTCTATCAAACTGAATGTAAACATCTCTCACAACCATTTGACTCTTCTACAAGCAGAAATGAACACTAGTTGCAATTACGGAGTTCAAACTCCACATGAGACATTTATCAACAAACTACTCACATGTTGTGGCATTACCATGTCTCCACACAAAAAACATTAAATATATAATGTCAATTATCTTTATGTGTAGAGAAAGAAGAACATGCAAACAAGAAAATCCAGTAACAGCCAAACCAGACAGACTATTAAAATCAATGTATACAGTTGAAGAGACAGACCTTGCCCATAATATTTGGCTGCCGGCTTATACCAACCCACTCATATGTTCTTCCATCAAAATATCGAACAGTACGCATTCCTGCCAAGATGCCTAAAGAGAACCAAAAAAGTAAAGAACAAGACAAAAGAAAACATAACAGGCATACCATAGATAGATAGCTATGCAGAGCATAAAGTTAATAATTGTTTCTTGTGTAACCACCCCTTGTAATTTTGCTTAACATGCAAGTATCATATTGACTCATGTTAGCATGACAACATCTACGAAGCCTGGACACCATCAACTGGCATCTCAATTTTTTTAAAAAAATTATTTCTCTCAAATCTTCAGATTGGTTTCTGAAATTTGGCTACATGAAAGACACCAGATGTGCCAATTGATCCCTAATTCAAACATTATCTATAATATAATCATCAAAGTAAATTATTTAAATGTCATCATTGTTCAGATGTAACTTGATCTTTATGGCTTGTTTGTATAGCTATCAACGTTTCTGATAGTATATATGTTTTCTACTACACTACACAGTCCACACACACAACAATGTATAATATATTATCTACAGCAATACACACACAACAACACATGCATACTTTGTTATATAGCAACAGTAGCACACACAACACATGTATATACAACACTAGCACACACAACACATGTACAGTTAAATTTAAATCATCCTTAAATTGAGTCATGTCCCAAATACTTCCAGAACTTCTGTATAGTAAATACCCACTTCCGTCTCATACCAAACATACATTTCCGTGACACAATTACTAACATAATTCATCCCTCATACTAGACATCATTCACAAAAAGCCATTACCTCAATAATTTTTTGTAAACAACAATAATTCATGTTCATCAGCTATTAAAAGAATTTCAGCCCAAATAGCATTCCAATCTATGACCCACAATGTACAATAAAGGACTGCACACACATAATAATGTAGATATTTAACTCAGCTTTCAAATTTTGCTCACAGGAGTACTTCAAGAAAACAAATGTGATATATTCTCCATCTTGTGACTATTTTTTGCCAACCAAGATGGAAAGATCTTTTCTTTTTAGATGAAGTAATGGCAAGATCTTTTACCTCATCTTCAAAACTATCCCTAAATTGATTCATGTCCTAAAAAAATTTGGAACTTCCATATAGTAGATGCAGATGTCCACCTCCATCTCATTCCCAGCACTGGAATCCATTGTCCATGACACATTCACTAACATAACTTCATTCCTAATATAGAGATCATTCACAATGCCATTACATTGGTGATCTTTTCTAAGCAACGGTAATTCATAATCATCTTCTATTAAACTAATTCTGATCCAAGTACAAATTTAAACTTATGACTCCTGATGTAGCTATGTACAAGAAAAAGACTGCATACACGTGATAACATAGCTATTTAGCTCAGCCTTCATATTTTGCTTTGCCTCAGATAAGACACAGGAGCACTCTAAGAAACAAATGTGAAATATGCGCCTTCTCATGACTATTCTTCTACCAACCAAAGTCTCATTACCACATTATGCTAACTATTTTTACTGCAGTGAATACCAGAGTACCTTACATATCCTTTGTTGGCCAAAGACCAGTTAAGATACGCTAAACCGGAAGCTACATAGATGCCTCGACAACCAACAAACAGATAACTGTAAGACTTAACAAATCCCCTGTTAGGTTGATGCACAAAATTAGGCTTTCTTCACCATAATAACCCTTCTTCATTGCAGCCAGAGCTGCAGAATAAAGTTAAACTCTTCCAGTTGAGAAACTACCCATCTCTCCATCGACTCTCAGTTTTTCATAACATCACTCCTCCACATTTGACCTACGCGCATTACAAGCTGCCTTTACAGTCTAAAGAGATATCAACTGATGGACAAACAATTTCAGTTTCTACCATTTTGGCCTAGTAGATAATCAGATTTAATACTGACAGCCTTCCAAATTAGGGAGGAAGAATGAGATGGAGATAGGTGAATGTAGAAAGAGTTGCATGATCCAAACAGTGCAGGAATCAACTGAGTCCCAATCAACTTACAACAGAAAAATAGTGAGAGCGAAAGGGGGCAATATGGAACATGTGCTGATAGACTTTAACAATCTAAAGGTACTTCATACATTTTGGCAAAATTAGCCCCAAAAATGGAACCACTGCAAATAGAAGCATAAGTGCATAACTAATCCCCAGTGATTTGGTATAAGAGGGTGGAATTGAAGCACCAACCAAATAGAACATCATGCTATGTTAATGTATGTAACAGTATAGTGGAGCGATAAATAATCATCAGATAAATAATGGAGCATATGACATAAATTGACATAAGCATGTCCAAATATGTCTATATCATAAATACCCAAGAAAATGGCTTAAAGTTTCTCACCAAACCAGTTGCAAATGAATATATCCAGAATAATGCTGTCCCACCAGCACTCATTAAAGTTTGGTAACATGTGGCGGAAAGTAAGCTGAAACATAGCAGTGTAAAGATAAGTTATAACAAATGAAATAATCAGTTAACCACTTGCCTAAAATGGTTATATCTAAAAATGAATGGCCACTGCTTAAAGCACTTGAAAGACGCCATAAAGGATCTGACCTCCATCAACTCGAACCCAATAGATAAGACCCATAAAAGAGGCTGATTACGTATCATGATGGCCTTGCCCCACCACCCTAAGACATGAGCTAGAACGAACTCATCGAACAATGTGTCCTACAAAGCAATACACCACTCAGAGAGATCTCAAAGGCCAACTATTACTTTTAGCAGTCTCAATCAATAATGAAAGACAAAACTCATGAAGAAAATAAATTGAAGAGGTAAAAAGAGTGCAAGGAAAAATCTTACATAAACATTCTTAAACCTGTTTGTGGGATTTTCAGGTACATAGAGTCTGCAATCAGCACCATAAGATTTTTCAGGAAGTTCTGCATAGCAAGTCAAATCAGTCTTAGCTATGCTACAAAGCAAAACATATGAACAGAACAGACCTGCATGAACGAACCACGGAAATTTTCTACAAGGAGTAGCCAAAATCCTTACCAATGCCAAGATCAGGATGAAGAAATGTCATAAACTGGCGAGCATCATCGCGCCTCTGAGAAAATAAAGGAACAGAGTTTTCATATTCAGAATATAATTTAATGGCTGCAATAACACATGAACAAATATCATAAGAAAACACAGATGTAAGAAACTATAGATACTGGCTCAGTAACATGAAGGTAAGAAAACACAACTCTTCTTACCAACCTACCTGAAAAAGTAGAAATGTCAAAGCAACAAGATAAATCACAGCCATTCCATGAACCAGGCGCCAAATCGCAGGATGTGGTCTAATAAGTACCCTGTATGATAGAACTAAAGTATTAAGTGGGTAGAATATTATTGCCACAAACTCCACATAAGTTCACAAGGAGGAAAAAAGGTGAATTGTCAACTACACATTCAAAACCAGAGAGTTTAGTTTATAATTAATTGGTTAAAAACTTCCAACTTCAATTTCAAAGATGAAATGTAAATTTAAGAACACGACTTCCTGAACTCGCCTAATTGAGAAGTGAGTAAAAGAAACTCCATAAAGAATCCCATAAAAATGAATAGAGAATATCACCTACTCCTGTATCTGAATTTGGTGGGATAAATCCTTACTGCTCACATAGTGTACAATATACAGACATTTATACCAGTAACCACTAACTCCTTTTTTAAGGCAAGAAACACCCAACATTCTAACACAAAAATACCCAAAAATATGAACTTGTTCATTTTAGACAAACAAAATGTGGAAACAACTTACGTTGAAGGGGCTTGCAGCAAAGAGTAAGCAAGATAAACAGCAACCATTGCCCAAATGCCCCTAACAGATGAAAAACAAATTACTTACATCAATTTCTTGTGCATAATTAAAAAAATGATTGGATAAACAACATGCTTAAAATGTACACCTTTTCACAGAAGTAGTAACATCACTGGAGGAAGTACTTTGCGGTTCAAGAGCTCCACTTGCCCAGCTGCAATAACGATGACACAAGCAAGTCAGAACATACAAATATTAACTTCATGTCCAACACAAAATCATATTAGCTTTAACAATTTTGGAAAATTTAGGAAACAGTGAACAAGAAAGGACAGGATTCATAGACCAAGTGTATTACATTCTTCGGCTGTAACACAATAGGACTCAATAAAACCTCAGAACAAGAGGTAAGAGGGTAAGGTTTAATCTTTTCCACAATTTTGGTAAATAAAGAGAGTTAAATATGCAAACGCAACCTTCTAGTTTCCTCAAAGAAGGGAATTGCCAGATGCCCACTTATCAAAGAAATGGAAGAAGTTAATAATTTTTTCGTTTGTCTTTGACATGCCATATGCTGTGCTCAGGAGGTCAGAATGATTTAAGTACCAAGAACTACACTAAAAGAAGTAGAAATAAACAACAGTATCAATAAAGTGAACAGATCCCTGAAAATTTGGACTTACGGAATGAAAATTGGCAATCAGAATTCAGAAACCAAGGACAACCAGAAGATGACTCAACTAGTCAACTATATCCACTATGAATCTTTTTATGAAAAACTTGATAGACTTATTCAGATATTCTCTTTCCCTATTCTGCATTGAATGGGAATAGGGTAAAGTCAACTGTTATAATTGAGAAACAATGAGACCCCAGGTTCCATTTTCTATACAAACTTCCAGCTCAAATACTGATATATAATTATGAAGATGAGTGGAACGCCAAAAAGGTAAGTGAGGTCAGTAACAGAAGCAGCAATACAAAGACAAATAATTGCATGGCTACCAACAGATCTTAGGGAATTCAAACTGTAAGCAATGCAGGTAAAGTTAATGTGGAAAATGTGGAGCATTAATACTACTAGATCCTACTTAAGATCATAAAGAAGAAGTTCTGAGGGGCAAGCTAGCTACTTTTATTACTAAATAGGTCCCCTGCTGAACAGTAATAATCACATAATTAGCAGAAATTTGGATCAACAGACTGCATATAAGTTTTGTTTGTCACAGACATGTTACCCTCAAAATTCATTTGAGCAGGGGACTCTTTCTTTATGGATTATAAGTGCTCTGTCCAGACAAATGGCGGGTTTTAAAGAGCAGGGCTGCTAGTATATGGTTTGCTTTTCTTCAATCACTTCTTTATTTCTCCTTCATATTTGACAAAAGAATTAGGACAACGAATCTAGATTGAGAGGTGAAACCCAGGAACAGAAGTGGTTGCATTTCCATTTCATGAGAAATTATAGGCTCCAAAGCAAGCCCTCAGATAAGAGGATAGAAAATAAATAAGCATCAAAATTTTATAGTTCAATTTCTTGCTGCATTAATATTCAAAAAAGTTAGGCACGGCATGCAGATAATTAAACTTGATGAAACAGGATTCAAGATGGACCTTAGGGAGAACCAGCAAAGACTAAACAAAAATAAGAAACCTTTTAAGAGCTTCATTGGAGTCTGAAAAAGTAGCCACAAGAAAGAACTAATACCTATAATTTATAAACAATGGTTTATAAAGCCTGTTAACTAAGCAACTTACATTAGGAAACATGCACCAATAAGCAACAATGTAATAGTACGAGGTTTGTATGCCCAAGCAGTCCATGGATCCAGCTCCTCATCTACATTCAGCGGGCTATGATTACCATTTTGAACGGTAACAAGATTCCTTTTGTTACCCTTTCTGTAACCATTAGGTTCCATATGCCTGGCCTCACAAATTCCTTCAGCCACTTCACTGCACACAAAAGATAAATCATTCCAGGATTACATGTCCATGTAGAAGAGTCCAGGTGCAGATAATGGTAAAGACAACAACACAGCAATAAACATCACAAGCAAAGGGCACCCCTATTGAGCTAGAGCACGTATCTACTTAATGCAGTGCAGAGTAATACCTTCCTAGACAATTACACAATCCAGAAAACATAGACTTAACAAACAAAGGTGAGGACAAAAGTGATTGGAAGAGGCAAAAAACTGAGAGAAAAAAAGAATCTCAAAGAACACAACAAAGTAAAGATAGGAATCCAAACAATCTTGCGTCTATCCAAATTTGATTAGTATGAGTTATAATAAAAACTACATTAGAAGTCCAACCCAAACAAAGGGGGAGAAATGAACATGGAACCTTTTGTTCCTATATCCTTTTGGCTTCTTCTGTTTATAACGCATAAAAATTAATCAGCAACCTCAAAATTAATGTAAATATTTTAAATTTTTTGTTATGTGAGTCCTTTTCTTCAGCTTCTCAGTCTTCAATAAAACAAGAATAGACTTAATGTAATCCATAAAGATAACAGCAAATATGCAAATGCAACACCCCCCCTCCTCCCACCATAAAACACAATACTTCAGTTTAATACAATAATCGAAAGAAATAATGAAATTGGCTATTACAGAAACATCACAATCATAACAGCAGCAAATCACTAATGTAAAAAAAAATGCATACGGTAAAGATATAGCACCTGGGCCTAACTACTAACTGACTCCATAAGTAAATTCTTCACTAAAACCACAAACAATTATCGATTTAATAATATCAATCTACTCTAATAAAATTCGACACTTTTAGCCAACATTTACAAATACAAAACTCCCTAGCAACAGAAAGATAGCAACTCAGCACTTAGTGTAAAGTAATGCTAGAGGGTGTCCAGATAGCAATAGAAAATCACAAATTGATGAAAATAATAATCACCCAAAATTCAACACTCTCTCACAAAGCAACTTAAAGGGTGCATGCCAATCACGACTTCCAAAAATGGCAACAAATATTTTAACGTAATGGCTAAAGTAAGATGAACCCAATATTCAGATACAACAGTAAATGCCAATAATACATGCATTAGTGATTTCTTCCCACTTGTCCTAGCCTTCATAGGGCAAAGTTACTCGGTACCTATTGCTGTTGCAGGTGGGAGGTGTTAGGCATATGAGGTGCACAAAAGCTGGTCAGCCACCACAGTTATCAATATATATATACACACTCACTGTATCTGACACATTTATTGTTTTGAGAGTCAAAAAAAAAAAAACTCAATCTTTCACTACGACTTCGTCAAATATTTCGTACACATTCGTAAAGCTTCAACATTTAATTCAACTAATCAATATTCCATTCAATACCCAAAACTACCCATAATTCATATTTGGGAATAAAAGTACAAACAAATATACTTATATAGAGATTAAAAACAGTTGAAATCTTACGCAGACATATCCTTAGTCGAACGATTGAATAAGCAGATGATTTATGGCCGTTGGATCAAACAAATGGGAGATGGGTTTTGTAGTTAATTGAGGAATTAATAGAGATATGGACGAATAATGAAGAAATGATACATACATATAGATATAGATATAGAGAGAGAGAGAAATCAATAAGGAAACCGAAAAGATAACTGGGTTTCTCTCTCTAAAAAGGTGAAGAAGAAGAAAGAGAGAGGGCTTTTTGGAGTTGTTCACAGAGGCAAAAAGGCGGTGAGAGAGAAAACAGAGAGAAAGTACAATGGTGGTCAATGGCAGATTTTCAATATTGGTTTTTTCATACAATGGAAATTCTCCCTCATTTGTACTCACATTTTTTAAAGTTTAAAATTTGAAGTTACGGTCGAAAACACGTCTAAACTATCTTATAAAACTCTGAGCTATTATTCAATAATTAGCAAAACACATTGGATGTTGATTAAACCATATATTTGTCTAGAAATGCTTATATACATATATAACGGTTCTATTTGCTGACTCATTAAAATTGACTTTTCTAAAATCTTTAACTCTCCTCTTTCAAGTCGAAGATTCCAATGTCATGCTAATTGCCAAAGACGAGATCACGACTAAAAAGGTGGAGAAGAAGACGGTGGGTGTCATGATTGGAATAAGTTAATTTATACTGTGATAGTTTTAACATTTAACCTTAACTTTTAATCTAGTACTCCCTCCGTCTCCTTTTAGTTGTTATCTTATACTTTTCAAAAGTCAATTTGACAAAATTTCAAAGTTAAATTAGATTACATTAATTTAATATTTTAAATTAAAAATTTCGATATTCAAAAGTTATACGAAAAGTACTATAAAATACAATTTCTTCTACATATCAATATAATAAAAAAATACACCATAAAATATACTCATAGTTCTTATCATTTGACTCTAAAAAAATAAATCATGACAAGTACATGACGAAATTTTTTAAACAAAAGAGAGAGTGTACACGCATCGTAAGAATTTAGCTGAGGTGTATTTTGCTAACTATTAGGTGATAGTTCGAATGGAAAACTCACACTCTCAATAATTCAAATATGAAACTCAAAAAATTAAAATAGCTTAAAAGTGCTTTTAATAAATTAAAGTAAGATTATATAAAAGTTAAAAAAATATATATAATTCATTTATAAGGACTTGTTAGTATGTCCATTGCCAAAATAAATAAAAATAGGCTAAGATTAGAGCTCTACATAACCTTATCATTACTGAAAACTATTTCAAGTCACCTTCTATAATTTTGATCAGTATCTTATTGTCATTAAATATATATCCTTAATTAGCGATAGAATCAAAATTTTTATTGAAAAAGTAACAACATATAATATAATAAACACAAAAAAAAAAAAAAAAAAAAAAACAACTTGAGCCAGGTCCAAAAACTTGACCTCCCAAGGATTTAAAGTTTTTGTAACCCCTCAATCGTTACACCAATTCTTTACCTCTGGTCAAAAAGTATCAAAAGGCAATGATTATGCGTGAGAGTAATTTTTTAATGAAGAAATGTCACTTGACATCCCTCGAATAAAGATAACTCTGACCCTATCTTTAATCATCTTAGAGTAAGCTACAAGAACTCCTTTAACTAGCCTCCAAATATCTCTAATATATCTCTCCGGACTTTATTGTAAACTTTTTCTAAATTTATTACAAATTATTATTTTGATGGATGACTACGCGTAAAAATTCCCTTTTTAAGATAGAAAGTTGGGTAGAATGGGGACAAAAGCAAATGAATGAAGTATTAAAAGCTTATATGTTTGTACATTTGAAAAAGAAAGATTCCAAACAGAAAGAGACAATATCTTATTCGTCAACTCACTGCTCAAGTGCTATCATCAATAATTGTTTTCGTGTTCATTTAAAATACTTTCATAAAGTCTCATTATTGATTTTTTCATTAATTTTATAATTAAAAAAAAAACCTACTTAATTATTCGATACGGTTATAAATTATATAAAATCATCGATTTTATTAAACAATAGAGATTTAGTAATTTATAGAAAAAATATAAGTATTAGTCAAGCTCTATTATTAATTAATTTTTTCTTAAGAATTCTACAAAATATCTTGTGACGACTAAATGAAGCTAGCATTTGGCCATAGTATTTGAGAAACATATTTCACTTTTTTAGAAAATATGATTTATACTCATAAGTTTTAAAAACTATCAAAACTAATCATAGGTTTGTTTTACAAGTCAGTTGGATCTTCGTTGCAACAAATATCAAGTAGTGTCCATGACATTAGAGCAATATGGTAGTTCGGAGTAAATGCAACAAGCATCATTTCATACATTGTGAAGTAGATAGAGCACATGACTTTGTTACCCTGAGCCGAGTGTTCATTATTTTCATCAATAATCATATCATCACGTTCATATTCACTGAATATTCTATCACTACTTTGGTGTTTACGTAAAAAATTATGTAATACGACCCAAACAACTACTATAGAGGGTGTTTTGTAAAAGATAAAAGTTTGGTGTAGAATTTAAATATTTAAAAGATCCCAAATAATGAAATTTGGCCCAAATACTAATTTTTTCTAGTATTTGGGAATTTGGATTATTTGTCAAAAATATTTGTCAAGTAATGACAAATTATATGGACAAACACTATTTGTCAAATTTCCCCCCAAATTTTACTTGAAAAATCTATGGCCAAACGAGTCCGAAAACGAAAGGAGTACTAAATCAATTTAATGATCGTAAAATGAGCTAAAGTGAAACTACTTATTTTGAGACAGAGGAAGTCGTTAATATTGTGCATTTGAACTGATCAAATTATTATTGATTAATTAATTAGTTTTTTTAGTCTTAAAACCTTTTCACCCACATATGTTGTTGAGATTTGAAAAATGTCAATTTTTTATTATTTTAGAGCACCCCATATTTGACATTAAATCAATCATGGCTTAGATTCAAACAACCTCACCTTTGATATGGTTTTTTTCAAAATTTTATTTTCTTATTGACCTATAGTTTGTAACTTATATACCTTTTGAATGAAATCACTTTACCAAAAAATTAAAAATAGACAAGATAGGGACTTTCTAGTTGAAGTGATCTACAACCTTCACTTTCAATTATAAAGAGAAGAACATATAGTCATATAGATGAAGGAAGAAGAGGTTTAGGTCACTTTTTGCCCATGTTTGTAGGAGAGGTCAATCTCAAATGAAGATATAATCGGGAGTTGTTCGGTGTGAGGTATAAGGTATAATAATTTCAGGATAAAATGTATGATTACTCTATCCTATATTTGGTTGGAGGTATTAGGTAGTCATGAAATTATTTATCCCGACATATATATATCATAGTGATGGAATAATTTATTCCAAAATAATTTATCGTGAGATAGTTAATCTCAAAATAATTTATTCTCAACCCAACCGAACGACCCCTTAACTATAGTCTATACTAGGGTTGTCAGCCTCAAAAAGATGCTTATCATACCCTATATAGTTGAATGTCTTACTTAATATTTCTTTTGATTTGATTGATAGAATTGGAGACAACAATATAAAGGACATAAAATGTTGCAAAAATTTGAAGCACGGAAAGACAATAAAGGGTGTAATGGAGTGATAAGTATTGTTCGAGTTCGAGTCTTCTTGAGTACAAAGTCGTCTTTGTTATGAAACATTTTACTAAATTCAGATTTAGTCGGGCTTCAAAATAAATATCGAACACTTTAAAAAAAAAAAAAAAACAACAAGGACCAGACTTTCCCTGGCTGTCTCAAACTCATATAGTCAGATTCCATTCAACTCAACATTATTAACCTAATCTAACAGCTAGATAAAATATCGAATTTCGAGGCATGTTTATTTTAATATTAAAAATAATAAAAATTCCTTGTCCTAATCGAAAAGAAATAAAATATACTTACTATTAAAATATTAAAAAGGAGGGTGGACCAGTTATTCCTATTCCATTAGTCTTAGTCCATATTAAACTTTTTAATAATTGAATTATGGGTACTTTGATCTTTTGCTTGGAATATTCACAAATTTATCAATATTATTAGTCATTCTATTGTTTGATTATTCATATATTATATTAAATTAGTTTCGACAATTATATAGTTCTATAATTAGTCAAAGATAGCATATTTACTACATGAAAAAAGTCCAAAATATAGACATTTCTATATAATTATTACTAGTCTCTCAAATAAATGACACCCTGTAGGCTAGTTGTTTCTAACTGAATCCCATATACTATATGGTAGCGGTATTTGGAGTGTCATAATTATTTTATTTTTGAATAGTAACACATTAAAATCTATATCTATTCGACTTAGATGGTGTTTGGATTAATTTAAAAATTGGTCAAACCTATTTTTAAGTCAGTTTTTGATTTCTAGAAGTGTTTGACAAATATAAAAAATAATTTAAAATAAGTTAGGAAGTGTTTGGCAAGGTAAAAAATAACTTAAAATAAGTTAGGAAGTGTTTGGCAAGGTAAAAAATAACTTAAAATAAGTTAGGAAGTGTTTGGCAAGGTAAAAAATAACTTAAAATAAGTTAGGAAGTGTTTGGCAAGGTAAAAAATAACTTAAAATAAGTCAAAAATCAAAAGTAGGTCTCCTCCTACTTTTTATTTTTTAACTTAAAAGTCATTTCAGTTTGACTTTTTTTTTTTGACTCAATCCAAACGGGTTCAATGTAACAACTTCTAGAAGTCTAAAATATATAACTAATTGTTATTAACCTTCCATAAACTTAACTTCAAGATTGACTTTTAAGATTTTAACTATATCTATTTAGGTAAGTTAATTAATGAATACCTTAAAAATCAGATTGTGCAATTAATTTGTTTATATATTTTAGTCAGATCAGTCAACAACTTACAATTATTTAATTATGTGATCTTATTACACATCTATAAATATAAGCCAAACACTCTTATTTTATATTCAGAGATAGAAACTCACTCTTATGTTTTTTTTTTGTACTAAAATATGCCTAGAAAGAGGGCACGTTTGACCACTAGTGATCTTGATGAGGAAAAGAGAAAAAAAATGCTAAATGAAAAATTAGCATCACTGTGTAAGAAAGCACACGAGCTGTCTATTCTGTGTGATGTAAAAGTTGGAATAATTTGTTCTATTCCAGAAAAAACCGATGTTTTTACTTGGCCATCTTTAATAGAGGCTCAGAACATAGTAAATGATTATTTAGCTTTTCCAGAACACAAGTTAGTTACACATAACGACTACCTTAAACCTATAGTGAAAAATCGAGAAAAATATATCAGGAAATTAGAGGAAATTACTGAGGAAAAGGAAATGAAGAACCTCTTCAATGAACTTTTTGAGGGAAAAGAACTCTTCAATGTTAGAGAAATAAAGGGTTTGTTGAAGTTAATTGCTACTAAGAGGGTTCAACTTGAACAAAGGAAGATACAACTTAATGAAGTTGTTGCTAATGACAACAATGTTGGACATCCTTAGAGTGTTGGTTGAGCATGTAATGCTTTTTATTTTTCTCATCGCTTATTTTGTCTTCTTGTCTTTTAGTTACATTTCCTAGTTACATGTTTGTTGCTTATTGTTCATCTTTTCATGTTATTTTCGTCATTTTAGGAATATATGAAAGATATTCTATTAAATCTAATTGAATTACTACAAAATAACTGCTAAATTGTTTTACATTTCCTTTTGAATGGGTGTAACTTTCGAAATTTGCTAATTCTTTATTTAAGTTACAGTTAAAGGTGAAACTGAAACATGTTGAATCATACATTACAAGGATAAAATATATATATATATATATATATAAAAAAAAATAAAAAATTAAGGGTCAAAATACTATTATCCCTTTATTTTATTTTTTTACTATTTGGTATTCAAAATTCACTATCCTAAATAATTAGAATTCATGTAGTAGAAAGTCTACTATGAGAATTTTTGTACTGATTTCCTATATATAAAAACATCATTCGAAATTTCAAAATCAAAGTTGAAAGAACCCTTACTATTCTAGTGCACCTTTTGAGATTTGTGGTTTTCAAGAGATACTGGACGGAGCCAACATAGGTTGCGGGACAGTAATAGGATAGTTTCACCCTTAATCAAAAGTATCAGATTTGAGCCCTTGGTATGGAAAAAATCTTGTTGGAAGCGTCACCCCTAAATGGACCCTACAATACATGATCTTGATTAAATTGAGGCTCCAATGCGAACTCTAAACACTGGGTGAGAAAAAAAAAAGAGATACGAGAGATGAAGGAGAAGTTGATTTACGTTAGCAACTTTACGTCCCCTTAAAAGGCAAGTTGTTTAGGCCAATCTTGAAATATTTAAGTCCCACATTGATGGGATGAGGAAATTATGAATTCCTCTTTTTATATGAACTTGATAATTTTTCTCTCATGAACTAGAAATTCATTTCTTTACATGGTATCAAAGTCAAACTCCTCCTACGCACCAGATGTTCAGTCCTAGACGTGAGACGGAATGTTGAATCCTATATCGGTCGGATGAGAACTTGCATTGGACACATGAAATTTTTTAAATATAAATGAATTAGAAGACAATTACATTGTCTATCAGTTGGAGCAACAATTCTATCAAAATTGGCTATGCTTTACCTTCTTATCTAAAATTTGGCCCAATTTTTATATGAACTTATTTTCAAAGAGTAGCCCAACAAGTCAAGAACACTAATTTCTTCCTGTGCATTACCCAAATACACATCTTATTTACCATAATCTATAAAATTTCCTACCATTTAAATAAAGTTCAAAAATCCCCTCTCGGATGCATCACTTCCTCTCGCTGATACATCCATTTTCACTGTCGAATACATCCCTCCCCTATGTATCTAGATCCTATCCCCTCTCGGATGCATCCCTCCCCTATGTATACGGATGTTCTATCCCCTCACAGATACATCGCTCCCCTATGTATCCGGATGTCCTATTCGCTCTCTGATACATTCCTCCCCTATGTATCCGGATGTCCAGCGATGTATCCGAAATCCATAAATTTTAAGGGACTTTAGTAATTTGAAAAAGAGTAGGAAAATGATGTAATCAACTCTTAACACTATAAATTTTATGTAAATTATACTTCTTTTTTTACACAAAAAAAATACTACAGTAAAACTCCACGTACAATAGTACAATTTCAAAATAATTTTCCTTTCCCTTAATTTTAAGCACACACTCTTTCAGCCTATCAGCAGTGCCGGAATAAGAGACTAGACTGGATGCTCTTGACCCAACTTGCAATTGCACGCACATACATTAAAATAGTTCTAAAAGTTTTCAAGATTCACAGTTATGACAAAGAGGGAGTTACTCGAATGATAAACAGTCCTCACTTTCAACCCTAAGATTGTGGGTTTGAGTCACCAAGAGAGCAAAAAGCTAGGAGCTCCTACGGAGGGGTTAAAAAAAGGATTCACATCTATTGCAGTAAAGTAATAATAATAATAAGTGTAGTCACTCGCATGCTCCGCGGATATTGCTCAAGGCTCTTGATTTGACTCTGCCTGTATTGATCATTGAGCAATCAAACAGCCCCGAGATGTAACCAAACGGGCAACGAACCACCAAGTAGAGGCATAGAAAAAGAAAATTCTAAGAACAGCCATTAATAGCAAAATAGAGTGATATTCTAAACCATTATTAATATATACAAAGGATAAAGATGAACTTAACCATTAAGTGCAACAATACCAGAGCATTTGATCTGCTTCGCAAAATATGAAGCATTTCCTAATCGCAAAGATATTGTAATTTCAGGTGCGTTGGCTCGACAAGCAGACTGAACAACTGCAAAGGCAAAAATTGGGACAAGTCAAAAGTAGCCAAGCCCATCCAACCTTGTCCCCCCTCCTCCCTCGGATTTAGCTTTACTTCCAGATTTCAGAGGCAGTCTATTTCGCTACTGAGCCCACTGCGTTTGTGAGACTTCAAAATCAGCCGTTCATGAGTTCCAGGATATCATATTCACATACATAGTAAAGCTGCCATCACAGATGCTCCTATGAACCCATCCCGAACAAAACCAAGGACGTGAGGCTGTCCCAAGCATCACGGATGCCAATTTTGTGATGTCCACTCTATGCCTTTTTGCTCTTTTTCAGAAACTGAGACATCTGCTCAATGTAATCAGGACCTGCACGGTGCCCTTCCAACAGCCACTCCAGAGCCTCAGCTGCTGCATCTTTTTCAGCTTGCTTTTTGTTGTTGCAAGGTCTTCCCATTATCTGCATTCCGTTGAACTCCACAGTTGCTCGAAACTGATTGTTATTGAGTTGCAATGACTTGTAGGTTGGTGTTGCATATCCTGCTCGATTCAGCAACGTCTGTAGCTGAGACTTAGCATTGTCACCTCCTGGACCACTTTCTATCCTTGATGTTGGAGCTGGTGGTGGTGCTCCAGTACAAGGCTTGGAAGGAAGTAAAATCTGATGACTAAAAACGAATCTGCCACCGCATTGATCCTCCGAGATAAGCAACCGTATTGCTGACAGAAGTTCATGATAACTATGTACATCCATCCTAGGATTCAGGAGCTGTACCATGTAGATTGTCAACTTTAGTTAAATATTATTTCAAAAAATTGTTAGCAAAGTCTCTGCTTCTTCAAACTTGACAAGGCACAAAACAGAATAGCATTCCATCTGTTGTGAACCAATCCTTTAGCAGAATTGACAATAAAGTGAGGTAGCAAACAATCACTTACTTTAGTGTGAATAAACTCATCAAGCTCTCTTCTTAGACTTCTGTACATTTCTGCTATAGTAGGGTTCAAAAAGAACTCTAAGTATCCACCCAACATTTTCAAGTGACCGTCCTATAAAAATGAAGTAAATGATTTCAATCAACGGAGAGAATATGTAAGCAGGTTAATTACACTTGGCATTAACCAGTACACAAATTTCTCCTTCGGGGTCTAGGATCAACAGAAGGCAAGATGGGGAGCTCACCACTTCCCCTTTTGAGATGGTGCCTCCAAATAGAAGCAGCACTGAGTCGGAGATAGCTGTAGAATCCCGTAGAAAGACACAGTTTACTTTGATCTTTTCATTGAACACCAGCCAAGGATATGGTATCCTGGAGTCCCGGGCATTAACAGAGTTCTTTGCATAACACCAGAAAGAGAGTAAGATCAATGGGACTTTTATTAAAGAAAACCAAAATATGCAGGTAGCATACTCACCGAGTGTAATAGCACCTGACCATCTTCCATTGTTTTCAATGAATATGACTTTTCATTATGCTGCAAAAGCAATAATATTAGTAACATTGGAAACAAGGATACTTCAACGCTCACTAAAGATTACTTTTTTTGCGGTTTCACTAAAGCTTAAAATCATCCATGAGGGCGCTTTACTACTATGGAATTACACATTTATAATTATGGATAAACGCTCCTGTCAAGGTTGTTTAAATGAATAAAAAGGCACAAATTAAATGGGATATATGGTGAATGCAAATATGATCTCTAAGATACATATTGAAGCAAATAAAGAGAGACAGCAGGTTTTACCAGTACAGAACAGATTCCAGGATACAACCCATAGCAGATAATCGCTCGAAGAAGATGCTCATCATAACTCCAAGAATTATACATGGTAATGTTGCTGTCAACAAGACCAGTGTCGTTCAGCAAAGAGTAAAACTCCTTGCGAAGAGAATCAATAGCTTTCATAGACTGTGCAGACAGAAAATTCTTCCAGCAGTACTCATATCCAGCTAGGTCTCTTTCAGCATCCCTCCAACCCTCATATGCTCGGACAAGAGCAAGATGGTCACTAAAATCGCGTGAAAAGTGAGCCTTGGCAGCATCTGCAAGCTGAAAACAAAAGCTAGCATGTCTCAAAACTGTAACTGATCTCTCAAAGAAAGTTATGTTTGATCCAACTAATGGAGATGGAAGCAAATAATGACAACAGCAACACGGAAGGCTCAACTTACATCTTTCTTGTCAAGTGGTGTCAAGAAGGGATCTCGGACACTAAGACCAGCAACAATAGTTAATATCGGGTCCAAACAATTCAAAATTGATCCAAGTATAAGCATTTTCCCCAGTTTAGGCTCCATTGGAAGCATTGTTAAGTAACGTCCTGTCATTCAACCACAACAAAGGCAGAGAAAAATCAGACTACATGGTTAAGACTTGAATACGGTTAAAATTCAGTTTCGTACCTAGAACAGTCAAATTTTCATTCTCATCTAAAGCCCCAATGATTTTCAGATACTCAACAGCATTTTGAACCTATCAGCAAAACAAAAGATTACTTCACTGAAGCAACAAGCAAAGGGGGAACTTGTACCGATCACAAGATGGTCTGAACTTATATCAGAGGCCAGTAAACTGTACTACCGAATAAGAAAATTGCGAACATATTCATTACCACACAAGTAAGAACAATAAATCTGACAAAGCATTACCGCTAATAACTCGGGAGATTGCAAAGCCCTCGTGAGGAACTCAGAAATGCTACCGAGTTTTAAACTCTTAATTTGCAAACAAAGGGATTGCAAAGGAGTCCTCAGAATTTCTGGTAATTGATAATCTGCAAAAGCATCATATACACATCTGGGATAAAGATGATAGCATTCTCCTGGCTGAACACGTCCAGCTCGTCCCCTTCTCTATCAGTTTCATGAGTAAACAAACATCATACAGTTAAAAATTGTCGGTAGTAACCAAAAGATTATTAGCATGAAAAGGGAGAACTTCCTACTAAAGAAACAGAAAGTACCAACAAGGTGAAAACTTGTCATTAGCAACAAAAACTGGAGAGAAAAAGAAGTGAAATAATTCCCCTTTCTCATATTTTACATCTCATCATTATACCAGTCAGCCATTATTACCAATGCCAGAGCTTTGAGCCTTGTTATCTGTGTGTCAGTTGTGGTGAGTGTGTTTTCATAAGTTATAAGAACCTAATTTTCTAAGCAATTTCCTTTCTCTTTTGCATTCAAAGTCAAACCCAAAACCTTTTGCAACCACAGGTCCAAGGACTTATCTTTGCTTAGACCAGGATCTCTTGGGTCTTGACATTAATAGTAATAACAACTTGTTTCACATAAGAAGATCAATGAAGGCTAGTCTATAGAGTCCTTTGTAGAGCTGGCTTTTGGCATCAACAATACTTACCTGTTCAGCAAAGAAATTTAACGAAGGCTACAATTACTAGCAAAGACAAGGTACAACTATATTATTGTACATAATGTTGTTTTTTGGTCTTTGGCAAAAAAAAAAAATCTGATGAGTTCAGTCTCTGACAAACTCTTTGTAGTGCTAGTTACTTGGACAAATGTATCAATGACACCCTCTGTACCAAATTATAATGACCACTTAGCCTTTTTTTTTTTTTTGATAAGATAATGTCCACTTAGCCTTCTTTATCAAAAACATTAAAAGTCTACTTAACCTTACTGGATGTCCAGAAAATGATAACACTTTCTTGGCGAGTAACTTCTACTAAATATTTTATATCCAAAGTTCTTGTCCAAAAATAATATTTAGCCAGACTTGCAATTGGCATTCACGAGCCTAATGACGAGCAAACACTCGAACGTGAGAGCAAAAGATCACCCAACAAATGAAATGAAATCACTTCTTGTTTCTTTTTAAAATTAAAAAGCAACTCAATGGTGCTTTCCCATTTGAATACTTACCAAAACCAATTTTTTCAGCCTTCCTACTGATAACCTTTTTTTCAACTTCATCATCCAATTCAAAACAGACATAAATTATAGGACAGCTGGAGCGCGTAACTTGGGGGCTTTGTTAGCCTATAAATCAAAACATTCTTCAGCTTCTATCTTATTTGCAGTAGCTGTATTTGGCAGGATTCAGTACCAAAATGATTGCCAAGGAAAAAAGCATAGAACAAGTGCAGAGGTCTTCCTTGAATATTCACATTCAACAGATAAGAAAAAAATAGTCACTCAACTTCATGAAATTTTGCAGTCCGTTACAGATATTAACCGACATATGGATGATGATTTGGACCACAAAAGCAGGGAAAGAAGTACAAAGAAGGCTGTTCCAATTTGGCAGCTTTGTGAATAAATGTAAATAGTAAATTAGACAAGCAAAAGAAGAAGTATAACCTAACAATGCAATCAAGAATACCATGAATTAAGGTGCATAATACACCAAGGGAGAAAAAGCTTCACCCAGAACCATTATACTCGAAAACATTTTCTCCACCCTTTTTTATGCTTGTGGTGTCGGGCCAGCTTGGGCGAACTTCGACTATTCCACCGATTACCTGCTATCTCCCACCAGCACAGGTACCTAGTGTTATTTTCCCCTACTGGATATGGACCTGAGATCCTATGGTTCTTGTTCTCCTCTCACTTCATTGACCACTAGGCGGGTGCAACATTTTTCTCTACCTTAAGTTGAAGAAACATGCGTCTTTTATAAGCATCACATAACTCATTCTTAAAAGGGCTATTACCAAAGATAAACTATGAAGATTTACTTATTAGACAAGCAGGAGTTCATATAAAACTGAAAAATATTAACGACTTGGGTAGAGATCCAGCAAGGAGATATCCATACAGTGATTGTGGCACAAGTAAAAAATTATCAGACCCTTGAATCGAAGAACTTCCAGAAATGAAACCTAAGGTTCTGGAAGTACTGGTCAAGTCTGAACTCCAAATTGAAATGTGCTTCAAAGCACAGCCTATTCATCAAAGAAAAGGTTCAAGTGTGAAGATTCAGAAATGTAATATTCATATGAATTTCTATAGTTAGTAGATATACAACGCATCAGGTGATACATTGTCATAATCACAAGTCAATAGATTATTGGAAGAATTGAAGGGTTACATGGGTATCATTATTTCTCAGCAAGTCAATCTCTCTATTCGCGGCTATTAAGTCTTCCTTCTCAATCCCATGGGCACCCTTCCCCTTCCCCTTCCCCTTCCCCTCCCACACTGTTACACTGAACCAGGGAAAAGACAATCATCACAAAAGTTCTAACCATCACATTACACAATTTATGATAAAGACATTTATAAACGCATCTTCCAATCAGATTCAGAAAGGACCAGCAAAGTGTCTTACTTGGCGAGCTGAAACCTTTGAAATCCAAGAAGGAAGCAAACGAGGAGTATTATTAAGTGCATCATATGACGTCTCTTTTGCCTTGCCACAGTCAATAACAAACACTACATCATCAATCGTGATACTGGTCTCAGCAATATTTGTAGCTAACACAATCTTCCTTACTCCATCTTCAGGCTTGTCAAATATTAACCTCTACATATAAGCAAAACGACTAAATGAATAAGAAGCACAAGAGCTTAGATAATAAACTGGACAATTAAGATCGTGAACTCCTTTTTTATTTCTACCAAGTAGAAATTTGTAAATTATAAAACCTGCTCAATCTAACAAGTCAAATGGTAAGAAAAACAGAAAGTGCAAGTCACCAGATAATAGGCAGAACACCTATTCCGATGACCAAACATACAAGGAGAACAGAAATTATACTAGTAATGCTTGTACTGAAATTTTAGATTAGTAACAGATGATATATCCTTGAGAATAGCTTGTATCAAAAATATAGTTTATATGTCAGGCAAATGCAAGGTAAAAGCATAAATGCAAATTTCTTCACCTGCTCTGAACTAGCCATAGAACCATGGCATGCCAGCAATAAAACACGGCTTGTATTCCCCAAGATAGGATGAGACTGTAGCTTATCCTTCAGAGAACTTATGTCATCCCAACCAGTCATAAAAACTAAAACAGCACCGGGCCTTTCATTTTCACAAATATGGCATAGAATATATTCTATAAAATTGAAGCCTATACAATCAGGATTCCAACAAGACAAAGACTCCTGTGTCTCAGGGCTAAATTCTTGGAAATCAGCAGCTCTGAGGGTGTCCTAACGACAAATAAAATATTAGCAGAGGAGTTGTAGCAAAAAATTGTGGAAGTTGCTTTTAAAAGTAGAAACCTCAACAGCAGAAGCAATCTGGCTCTTCCTTTTTCTTGGAGCTTGTTTGTTCATTTTCCACGTTCTCTCCTGCCCATAATCATCAATCTGATTGTCTGGCGTCAACCTGTACCCGGACATCTCCAGAATATTTTCCAGGAAATGAGTGCGCACTGGATATGTAAATCCCTAATAAAGACCATGGAAAAACTTTTCAAAAATAATATGAAAGCAATGTAAGTATGGATTAAATTGTATCCAGGAAAAAAAGGGCTGAATGTGGATTCACTGTTTAGTGTCTTAACCAAGAAACAGCAAACAGGTATGATGTTAAACACCAATGCTTTACCCAATAAGAGAAGAAATGAACTATATCGCGCATTTCACATACTCCATTAGGAAAATCCACAACCTGAATAGGAAAATTTCACTCCTATTCCTTTCAGCCACTTGGAAGGTCTGTGATTTTCACTATATTTAATAAGTTCTGCTAAATAAGATGCTGATCGAATCCCAATCTCAACTGATATTGTCAAAAATCCTTCATGCAGGTAATCATTCTAGATTGTTTCTTTTGGATAAGGTTCAAACTATATTGTTGTAGTACTGTTCTGTTATTATGTGTTATTTCTTATACTTCCATTGTTTCTTGTTTTTTAGACTGTTTTTCTTCAGCCAAGGGTCTTTCTTTTTTGAACGAAATATTGTTCGGGTCATCAATCTAGTAGGAGTATGAAAAAATCAATGTCACAAAAGGGTATTTTTTGGAATGTTATTGAAAGATTATCATTTAAACAAGTTTGGTTACAAAAATTTGAAACAGGGGAGGTAAATGTAATATTCAAAACCCCAAGGGAAGTGAGTGTTATAAGGCTAAACTTGGGGAGTTTTCTGAAATTATCCCTAATTTTTTTTTAATGTGTATATTGATATAATTTGCTTTTTATTTTATACTCATACATGCTTAATGCTTTCTCTAAATGACTCTATGTTGGAACCTCTGTTTATTAACTAAATGGGTTCATGGAACTTGGTGGTATTCATCTGTAATATATGAAGACAAAATACATATATGGGATATTGACTATCCAGTGATACAATGAGATATGAAAATACATGTTGAGAGGAACAAAATTTAGCTGTGTTTTTAATACTTCTGTTGAAATTTGAAAGAAAAAAAAATTGAACCATATAGAAGCTATGTCATCAGATATGGTTGAGTAAATGGTTTGCTCCAGCTTAATGCAGTTTAAGTAACTTTTTGAAAGAGTTCTCATGTCTGATGCATTTTTAATTGTCAACACTCTTATTTTCTTTTTGCTAAAATAGATTGTCTCATGGAATTAATTAAAGAATATCGGTGAATAAATAAGTAACTATAACATGACAAATTCAAATATAAAATTCTGTCTTGAAATAGTCGGACTTTAGACGTTCTCTTTCATTCTGAAATCTTGTGTCAAACAAAGGCCAGAGCCAAACATCTCAGTCAATATATAATGTTAAAATCTCCTGAATACAATGGTTAAAATCTTATAGATCAAATAATTTGTGGATTAGACTTCACTTAATTATCTATGGTTTCATTACATGAGCTCGGGGTAGAAGTTCGTATAAATGTATCGCCATGCTATTAAGTATTTTTATTTAAGTTCTTTTTTTCTTCTAATAGGTGGAATAGAATAACCTGATTGAAGCGTAATGACCATATGTCAGTATTATACCTCTTAAATAGAAGTGTGGTATTCAAATGTAATATCTAAACTCGCTTAATTGTTCATCTTTGTAGCTTTATATAAAATCACATCATTTTGAATTGAGATAACATGTAACCAAAATAGCATTATTGCGCAGAAGATATTTTAATTTCAAATGACTAATTAGCTTATTGTCCTCTAACTTATATTTTAGGTTTCAAACAAATAGTGTTAAAATACAGATTAAAATTTCCACATAGAGAAGTTCTAATAATTAACATATGATACACGTTGTTTAATTGATAAAAAGAGAAAACCAACAAACAAAATATATAAAAGGAACTAGCAAATATCAGATAAAAAGATTTCTACAAAGAGAAACACCTCACTATACTATTTTTCTGACAACGTCACATTATTCAAATTTATTTTTTAATATTACAACTGCTTTAATGTTTTCTTCTTCTACTACCAAAAGAATATACATGAGAAATTTTCTGTGCAGTCAAACTATGTCTTATCAAATAAATTGGTATTCAGGTAGTACAGAACAAGAGGAAGAGGAATAGAAACACAATTAGTCAACCAACTTACTCACCGGAATGTGGACTAGTGGAGCCCCATCAAAGTATGAAGAGAAAAGCTCTGCATCTAAGGTGGCACTCATCAAGATCAACCTTAATTCTGGCCGACGTGGGAGTAAATCCTTCAGAACAATTAGCAGAAAGTCTGGTATAATACATACTCAATTGTTAGAAAGTAGATTCCATTAACTCCACAATCTCTTTAAAGACAACAATATACCTTCGTTCATTCCACGTTCATGAATCTCGTCCACAATTACATGTGTGATTCCCTTCAGATTTCTATCAACCAGTAGCCTTCTTAACAAGATACCAGTTGTACAGAAGAGGAGGTGAGTGTCCCTTCCTTTAACACCTTCTAGCCTAACTTTATATCCAACCTGCAAAGACATCAAAGAAGACAGAATACTTATTCCAAACTTAAGTCATGCATGATGGAATGTATGCCATTTTATTTTCTAGTACAGAAACTCACTGTTTCACCCAACAACTCCCCTCTCTCCGCAGCAACTCTTTCAGATACTGCCATAACAGATATTCTTCTTGGCTGTGTACATATGATACTACACATGTCTCCACGAATAGACTCAATTTCAGACTCTAAAATAAACTGTGGAATCTGTGTGGTCTTCCCACAGCCAGTTTCACCAGAGACAATAACCACCTGTTCACACGGAAAAGCTTATTCTAATATCAGAATCATCATGAGAAGTTTTAAAAAGATCAAGCCTTTCCCAAGGAATTTAGCTACTGCATGTTTTCTTTTACACATTCCATTTTGAACTATACTAGTTCCCTAAATAAAATTAGAAAAACAAAAAACCACCAAGCTAAGAGCGGGCATCAACACTCTTCAAATCGCAGAAAGGTCATTCGCAGACAAAGCTAAGACCCAGTAATGGTTAGAAAATGGCGTACCAGAATACTAGACGAATTTAATAGAGCTTCAAAGGGCTCCAAGAACTGCAGTTTCAAAAAAAAAAAGGAGTCTCCAAGAACTGCAGTTTGCTATCATATTCAATCTGTATGCTTAAAATCTTTTCATTTGCACTTCTTCGCTTAAGCCACACCCCTAAATCCCAAGCAAGAAGAAGAGATTTACAATGCTGTGACATATTTCAAAACAGACTCCTTTTATTTCGCCCCTCATCTGCTTTATGCTTGACCAACAAAAAGAATTTTGGTTCTTCCACTAAATGTGAATGCTTTGCTAGATATCTCACATGGCAAGATTTGTAAAGGTTCATTTGGTGTCTGATAAGAAACTGGATAAACAATCAACGATGACTGGGCGAATTTATCCAGTTCCTTATCAATGGATTCTAATCATGGGATGTCTTGCTTGCCCACCAACAACCCAAAATGAATGTTAATTGTTCAAAATACAAGAAAGGCTTTATTTTTCTTCTAGAGTTTGATGATAGTTTCACAACCACATATTTTATGATCTTACCCAAATGTATCATAAAAACAAAAAATCAAAAGAAGCTCTCCCTTTCTTCTTTTTCTCCTTTACCAGTGACATCAAATGCACATGGCACTACTCTAATACAGCAATGATGGGCCAAGTGGCGAGGGCAGATTTCTCAAGATCTGACATACCTGGTTCTGTGAAATGGCACTTAATATTGCGTCTCTTTCCTTATACGCGGGTAGACTACTACGAAATTCCAGTATCTTCCTACCCTCAGGTGATTCCTGTAACAAGAATGATATTCCATGAATCGATCTTCCACAGGGAACAACAAAAATATATACTGATAAACTTTTACAACATTATATTAAACAAACAGAACAAACTCAAAAACAAAAACAAAAAACTATAAAAAGCTACCAACTGTGGAGAAAATAGAAACAGCATAGAACTAGAGTGCAGAAAGATCTATGTGAAAGGATCAAAGGAACAAAGTCACAGCAGACTGTTTACCCACTCTAACACATACCGTTCTCCCTACAAACAGTTGATACTGGGTTTATACACCGATTTTCAGAAATTCGTTTCTGAAAATTTTTCAGGTAGTGGTTGCTAAAGTAGTCAGACATATATTAGATTTGAAGATATTCTTTTCCTATGAATACAGGTAAAATAGGTTTGCCTAAAAAATCACTTAATACTAGAGAAATTGCACCTTTGTTTATGCAATTCAGTAGAAGACATAGGGGGCTTTTTGCTTGATGTCATGAACAAGGACCTCTCTTGGATTTGTTCTTAGTTTCTCTATAAATACTAAGCTTTTATATGAACAAAAGCATTTCACGACGTGCAAACTCCAGCTAGCACAAACATTTATGTCAAATTTTCCACCAACTAAGCTTCAACAAATCGAATGAAATCTGTCGATAAAGAAGTGGACACTTTGCTGAGGAACGAAGTTGCTCGCCTAGAAGGAGAGGAACAAATCTTCGTGTCTTAACACCTCCTAATTTGAGAACCTAACCCAGAAGTTTATCACTTCTAGCAACTAAAACCAGAGCCCTCAATGATTTTAGATAGGTCCATGAATCAGATTCTTCAGAACTCAATTCTGATCAATATTATTCCTATCTAGACATCAAATTCACCAAAAATCAAAGATGACAAAAATTCTTCTTATCTGAATGCCCAAATATTTCTGGTAAAACCAAAAAAACTGAAGTACAGTCTAAAATAACGTAGTGTGAGACCCGCAATAGTCAAGAAAAGAAAAGAGAACCAGTGGAGAAAGAATGAGAGGATATCTACTTAGGAAAAGTAAGGGCATTTTGGAGAAAAAGGATGAAGGCAAAATCAAGGTCATGATGTGTTATATCCTATAACTGTTACTATTTTCTCAACTAACTGGGAATGTTACGTATAATCCTTTGGGAATAAACACAAAAATTGTTTCCAAATAAACAACAGTTGTAACTTTTCACTTGAGTATGTTGCATCCTTATCTTATACATGCATACCACAGATGACTTTATAAGAGTTGTTTTGGCACCACAATTAATTAAGTTCACAGATCTCCTATCTCTCACCATACGCAGGTTAGAGGAAAACAGCAAGTGAACAACATGTTTTTCCTTTCTAGAGAACTTAGAGAAAAGATAATTATTATTTTCCAACAAAGATGTGCGGGAAAAAAAACAACTACTAGCTATTAGGTCGTCGATATTTTAAGGGCTGCCCCAGCAACAGTAGATTCAATTGCACCTACTTAAGGAAGAATTAGAAGATAAAACTTTTTGCCATGCAATAGATTGTGTGTATCTCCTGGCCCCTCAACTTCTGCTCCTAGTGTCTTACTATGTTAACAAGAAAAATATACTACATGGTGTATCTATAAACTTCTTGACAGATCAGCTAGTGAAATTTTATTCTCGTTTCCTCTAATCTCAACACCTATTTTCATTGCTTAGTCCAGACTCCGGACAAATTAAGAAGTATGTATCATTACAGCATTTAATTCTCACTCCATGATGAGGTTTCAGGCAGCAAAAACTTTGATTATCATGTCTGACCTATAGAAAGTAGACCAAGAAAACTATGCATCTTACTTGAAGTGAAGACAAGGTTGGAAGAGGGAGATAATTCTTAATTTTTACAGATGTCAGTGTGCTTTAAAATTTGAGGTGATTGAACCTGCCAAGTTTGCTGCTCTGTCTGCATTTGCATACTCCTTTCCCAATGGATTTTCTTCATGGAAACCTTACTTTGAGGGGGTGCCTCTGACTGCTCAAATAGACCCTCATCAGTAGCTATACTGCCATTACTGCTTGATCGTGAAAGTACATCTGTGCTCCTTGGCTTACGAGACAAGTATTCTCCAAGAAAAAGATCTATTCGTCTAGGTAAACCCGGAGGCAGGATCACCTGACAATTGTTTAAAGGTCGCAGTCTTTATCATCATTAATGAGATAAATTACAGGAAAGAGAGGTAGAAGAGGGAATACAGGAACCAGGCATGAATTAAAACAAGAAAAGCCTGATCAAGTAGGAAGCAGCAGGAATGTAAATCCAGACTAAGACAATTACAATATTAAATAAAAGAAAATAGAAGTGGAAACATTGGCGTTGAGTCAAAATTTAAATAACTGAATAAGAATATCTAACAGATCAAGAACATACCTCTCTCTGAGGACGCTTATCATCCAAATCAAACCTGTAGTTAGGTAATGGAAGCTTGCTGACAACAACTACTTTTGAATATAGGTTGCTGCAAAGGATGGTAGCATATTAAAGTTCTGTACCAAAACAAGTGCAGAAACAAGACACTTCCTAATCAAAGATACCTATATAAACCCACTTTGCTTGCTAAAGCTGCTATTTGCTCATAATCACGCCTATCTTTTTTCTCCCTTGAGAGCACCTCTTGTATATCATTGTTGTGTAGCAGAGCAGTGAGCTTCCATTTCCATGTTTCAGCGTTATCAGATGTGACAGCACCCTGGAATCCATTTAATGTTATAGGACAGTCAGGTGGCTTATATTTGTGATACATGCAGACGGGAAGAATTAGCTGTAAATGCATGCAAGCCATAACATGGATAAGATTGTATATGCAATTGAAAGTAGCTGGACATGAGCAGTTATTTTCCATGACAAAGCAAACATTCACTGACACGTATAAAACCTCATCATCAGATCAAAATAGAAAGTCTAAAAACCCTATGTTGCTCGGACTCTTCAAAAATGTCAAGGGGTGCGTGTCAGATTCGCCAAAAGTAGTGTATTTTTGGAGAATCCGACACGGGTGCGGCATCAAAAGTGAAGAGTCCATGCAACTTAGTAAAAAACCCATCCATGTCAGGAATGCTCCAAATAGAAAAGATGTCAGTGACCTATGGGTTAAGGTTGATTCCTTCAGATTAATGGTCAAGTTCAAGTCTCCACCATGTGTGCCTATCATCCAAGTGTATGTTGATTCATTCACCATATGTCCAGATCAGTGATTCCATCATTTCAGCAACAGAGAAACGCTGACAACATAAATGTGTAGTGTAGTCAAGTTGACGCATATAATATTAGGGACACAAGAACACTCTTGTTCAGATGCAACTTACCGGAGAGGTGCAAACTAATGCCATATTTATGTTTAAACAAGTTGTGGCATTTTTCAATTATTTTTTTAATAGCCATGGTGTCCGGACTAGGTTGTTCGCACCTCAACTAATTCTACGAGTATCTGCTACCTCCCACTAGCACACTGGCATAGGTACTTGGTAAGTTTATCCAACAAGGCAAGGACAAACCAAAAGAAATCACCTAGTGTTTTGCCTCTACTGGGATTTGAACCTTCTCATGGTTCTCAATCCACTTCCTTGACCACTAGGTCACACCCTTGAGTGTAACATTTTAAATTTTTCAGTTAATTGCTATGAACTACATATATCTGGATAAGAATATAACTCCAGCATTAAAACAATCTAATAACTCTAGAAAAAACACTAGTGCAACCACTGATCAGCATATTACTTGATAATTAGGCAGGTTTCAGGACAAGTAACTTAAGAGCATATCACGAAGTCTAACAACAATAAGCACTTAATCCATGTTCAACAACACTAGATAGGATAGGATAAAGATAGTATCTAATTACACATGAAGAATGGGATTATATTTTTCCTGTATATGAAAGAGTTACTATATAATCTATTTTTTATAGAAAACTTGAAAAAGAAATGAAAAGAGTTACAAGGTCCAAGAAGAAAAAAGATGAAGACCCATACTAGTGCAGAAAGGTCATTGAGCCAAAAAGAAAAGCTCAGAAGAGAGTGAGGAAAAGGGATGGACTGCATTTAATTTGTCTATTTTGTTGATAATACTTACTATTAAATTCAAGTCAACTGATAACCGCATTGTACACCAATTATTTAATGAAACAGAGTTGTAGGTGCTGCCAATGGCAACTTTATTATTCATTAAATTAATTACTGTAGTTCGGAAATCTTAATCAGGCTTTCTTGTTATGCATATCTTGCTACATGCCTGAACATCAAAGGTCCAACGCAAAAGAAAACAACCATGCCTAACTAAAGTTAATATGCATGTGATGCTTTCCAATGCAGTTCAGTGCTTAAACACATATGATCCTTGATTACATTTTACTCACATAGGGTCACATCATTGATCTAAAACTCAATATTCAGATATGTGGATTTGGTTATCTAACTTATCAAAATACATGAGTCGTGTTAAAAACAAAGAACGAAGTCAAAGATTCAAGACAACACAAAGATGCGATGTCCACAGAATTGTAGATTAAAGTGTCAGTATATCACCCATAAACCAAATCAAATGACAATATTCTCCTGTTCTTAGATTATGTAACTACTCAAGTAACCTTACATAATACAGTCATGACCAAATGTAAGTTTCAAATCCACTTTAACATACCATTGAAGCTTCAAAACACTATTTTGAGTTAACTTGCTCAGAAATAGAGTTGTAATCAATATTAGGCAATAATTGAGTTCTATATGAAATTAGGCAATCACCTTTTTTCAGTAAAAACTAGGCCATCATTGAGATTTCCCTATTTAGTCATTTCCTAAGCCAAATTGGATCATTATACAACAATTCAAACATAGCCCAATTAAGGAAGAAAACTTATATTTATTGAGCAGAAACAGTCCTTAAAATTAATTGTATAAACAGCATTTATAAGCATTGTGAATACTGAATTTAGACCCCAAGATTCTTCCCAACTAATTCGCGCATTTAATTGCTCAACCTACCTTGGTATTATTAAGTATCAACATACCTCAATTCCAAACTAGTTGAGGCCAATAATATGAATCCTATCTATGCATTCTGCTCTATTCAGGCCATCTAATTGAAACCCTTTGTTCATTTTAAACACTTAAGTTGGGTACCTATGTAATGCATGCCTAAAGGAGAACAAAGAATCCTGACATTGATTAAACTTCAAAATGCTACCGATAGACGTGTCTCATCTACCTGATATGGCGTAAGCTCAATATCACCCCCTTCCTCAGAAACGTCATCAAATTGTGAACTTCTCTTATGTTGCAGTCGCACTGGTTGCTGCTGAGGCGGAAGGCAAGCGTAGGACTTGAGAGAGTTAGGATTAGGTTTTTGATCGATTGCTGTAGGACGTAAGCTGCCAGGTTGTGGAGAAACAGCAGAGGGAACAGTGATTACTGAACGGAGGCGTTGATGTGGAGGAACGTAAACAGCGCCGCATGATGACAGCGGCCGGTCCTTCATCGTTAAAGATGGTGGTGGAATGCTAAAAGGTTTAAGGTTTATGTAATGTGAACTATATGTCAACAATTGGAGAGGATATAGGCCCATAAACTGTTCGAGTCCACTCCGGAGAACAGGTGACGGAGCTCCGTCTTACAGCGACGGAAAAGGTTACGTAACGGCGGTCAGCGGTTGGTCGGAAGTTGAAACCTTCATGGCGGCCGGCGGTCGGCGACGGCGGATGGAACTGAAGCTAGTTTCGAAGATGATTTGTAAATTCATGAAGGAAACTTAATCACGTGATGTGCACGTGAGCAAATGTTGAAACGGTGGAGGCCCCACGTAGCCTCTTTGGGAGGATGTGGAATACATATAAGCGCTTAAAAAAAAATTCTTTGAGTTCTAATTTTTACTCGTTAAAGGTTTAAATTTGGAAATTATTGTCACAATCCAGAGAGATAACGATATAATTAATAATTTAAATAACTTTCATAAAGTACACCAGTATAAATGTTAATTATTCAACGTGTGATAGTTTTAAGGGAGAAAGGATAAATATACTCTTCACCTATCGTAAATGGTATGGAGATACCCTCTGTCATACTTTTGGGATATTGGTGCCTCCGCCGTCCAAAAACTAGAGCATATATGCCCTTCACTCTAACGGAAGACTAAATAGGGACACGTGGCACAATCCTATTAGTCGATCTGATAAATAATAAATGTCGGGTTGATGGATAAGATTATGACACGTGTATGTCCATTAGTATAACGGGTATATATACTCTAGTTTTTTTATGACAGGAGTACCAATGTCCTAAAAGTATGATGGAGGGTATCTCCATACCATTTATGATAGTTTGGAGGTATATTTGTCTTTTTTCCCTAGTTTTAATAAATATGTAACTAGTTTGAGTTGTCTTTAGATATAGTCTCTAGATATAGTATATGTGTCTCTAAATCTACTATATCTAGTGAATGTATATCACATGTTTCCTCTCTCTCATTCGCCTTCGTCCCTTTACTTCTATGTATATGTGTTTTATAATTTCATGCATCTTGCATCCAATATCAAATGTGTATTATGTATATCAGTTTCATCTAATGTATCACGTATCAATTTCATGTATCCAGTACTAGTGTATTTATGCATGGTATTCAGTGTATATCTACGTATTTACATATTTGTTTTGAGAGGACATTGATGTATTCAATTTATCTATGATATATCTAATATATTTGTGCGTAAAATATATCTATATGACATTAAATTTGTGTTGTATCTAATGTATCTGTGTATAGATACATACTTAAAAAAATGAAAATATAGTTATATATATATATATATATATATATATATATGCACGTAAATAAGGATTGTGTCTTAACTAATGATCTTTCAATGACTATCTAGTATTAATTATGTAGCAGAAAGAGGGGAGAGAACAAGAGAAAGAGGGAGAGAATGAGAGAGAGAATTGAAAGAGCAAGTGACCATGTAATTATATATGATATGAATGATAGCATTGAGCTTTAATAGATATGGTATGAATGTTTATCTAATTAGAAAGTTATAAAATGTATATTTAGAATCGATTTAAAAAATCATTGTGTAATCTGGTGTGATTAAATAGTATTGACATATTTGTCTAATTAACTAATTTTACTTGGTAATTGGGTATAAGTAAGGGAGAATAATCTCACTCTTTAATTATCAAGAAAGATTGAAATAGTTGGTAATTACATGTTGCGTTTTTATTTCTTTCCTTTTTGTTTTAATTTCTGTTATTACCTTATCATAATCTCGTAAAAATAGGAATGTTATGTTTAAAAGATCATCGGATCAAATAACACATATCAAAACAGATTTAAAATAAGAAAACAGAGTAATAAAGATATCACAAATAATAGAAAAAACATTCAAAGTATACATAGAAAATTAATGGTAACCACAACAAAATAAAACGGTGGCTGAAGCACAGTAAATAACATGTTGTGGTAGAATTAAAGGATCATAAACTTCAATAATGATGTTACTACTACTAGTATACAAGAAGAAATATATCTCGTTGGATAACAAGACAACACTTAACTACCTACTAACTCACCACTTCAATTTGTGACCTTCATAACTTTCTGTCTAAGTTAGTGTCCCCAATAAGCTGAAAATGTGTCATGTCCTAACTAATCTTCTCTCCCCAATGTTAATTCAACCTATCTATACCTCGCAGGAAGCTTACCATAGTCATCCCTCACACCTCCTCACTAGGACATTAACATCTCTCGTCTTCACATGTCTGAATTATCTTATCCTGCTTCCCTCATTTTGTTCATTACAAAAGTAAGCCCACCTTGTCCTGAATATGTGCATTCTTAATATTATTTCTCAGTATATATTAATGAATTATAAAGATCTTTAGCTAAACATGAAAATTAGTACTTATTGTGACAAGCACTAAAATTCAATGCATGCATACTAGTAGTGATTTATACAAACAAACCCATATAACCAAAAAGTGGCACCCAAAGTCACAAATTGATTGTCATTGCCAATTTTCCATGTTCCATGGTTATGGTGCTAATTGGTAGCAAATGGTACCTATTATCGAGAGTACTCCACTGCAATAAGCTTATTTTTTTATCGAAAAAATGGTTTAAAATATTTCTAAATTATTTAAAATAGGTTAATTTCACCCTTCGTTATGTTTTTTGTTTAAGAATGTTCTCACCATTAGTCAACTAGCTTAAAATAATCCTTCAACTAGTCAAATAACTCAAAAATATCTTTCCTACTAACCGTTACTTCAAAACAAGATGAAAAAATCAATTTTACACTTGAACTATATTTCAAATTTGCTCTGGATCCATCTCTGATGGACCAAATTACAATTTGTTGAATTACTGTTTATGTAGGATGAAGAAATGATTCTTTTCTTAGTTGTCATCCATGCTACATACAGTATAATATAAGCGTTTTTTTTTTTTTGTCGAACTGCCAACATGAAATGTGCTAGCTAATTCTATTGAACATAAATTGACAGTTGACACCACTAATCTTATTTTCGTGAGTTACGAGAATCTAGTGCAATTAGTAAAATTATTATCCTGTGTTCAGGAGGTCGTATATTTGAAAAATAAAAAAAATCATTTGTAAAACTTCAAGATAAAATTATGTACAATACACCTTTATATTTCGATCCCTCCTCAAATCCTTACATAATGAAAGCTTAATATACCAGACAGTCATTTTTATTATAACATGTTGGTGAGTTCACAACTGACTTTTGTGTGAATATGCGATAGAAGAAAATTACAAAGCTAGCTAATTGGGCCATTGGGGCACAATCTTTTTAAGCCCTTTTCTTTCTTAGACATATAGGAGCATAGCAATATGTTATGTACCCAATATAAAATAATATGGACATCGTTGGCATATTTGTGTTTGTTCATTTTTATTTGTCATATCTTATTTTTATAGCATTACACTGTATGGACTTTAATTAATATTTCAATAGTATATATGTTTTCATCGCATTACATCATATACTTAATATAAGAAGTATCGTTATTTATAATATTTCTCGTATAATATTTCAAATATTTAATTTTTAAACATTAAGTTAACTCTCGTAAAATAAAATTTATCTACAAGGACTAGAAGACTCTCGTGACAATCACCATGTCCCTTTCTTGTGATTGATTACTCATTTATTAAGTTTTGTCATGATAAGAAAGCAAACAAAATTGCAAGTTTGCAACAACTCAATCTCTGTGTGTTCTATTTATTTGTTGCAATTATCAGCCGTATAAAACAGATAAAAGTTATTTTCATCTGATCTATATAAAGATAGGGATGACCAGATGAGATTATATAGATAATTATAAGTTTGACGTAATTTAATATTTGGCTTATATTTTATATTAAGGTTCATTTTTGAATATATAGGAATAATTTTATTGAAAACCAAGAATGAAAAAAGAATTATTTGTGCAGAACTCATAAATTAAAAATTCTAGCTTCGTTTTTGTACGTAGCTAGCTAAGTCATGGCATCGATTTGTGGTATACTCAGCCACATATGTTTCCAACAAGGTATATGACGCCTTGTTAATTTATTATACCTCATTGAGACGATGTGATACGATCCTTTTTTATATTATATTTATATGCAGAATATTTTATGTAGCAAACAAAATTGTATTAAAGTCAGCCTCTAAAACATTTGGTAATTGAGTTGCATTCCTCTTCCTTTTTTCAGCATCTTTATACGAATATGATGAAAATCACTTACAATATGTTTTTCATATTGGCTAGTAAAGAGTCTGATTGGTCATCATACCACTTCATTAATCTTTTTTCATTTTTTCATCCTTTTAGTAGCGCAGCGGAGTTAAAAGTTTCAATAAAAAACATCAAAATATAAAAATGTATAAATTCATCACATATATAATTATCTATTTATGTTATATAATTTTTAAATTAATTTGTCTTGAATAAAGATAGCTTCGTTCCTATTCTTGTGAACAATAGTCTATGTATATTTTAACATAACAAGTATGATTGTATACTCTATCTTTGACTCAATACACATATATAAAAAAGTATAATTTCTTTTAGATAAGTGCTAATTGACTTCCCTTAAACGACGATAGATATCTGCCTATCCATCCAACTGATGAAAATGGGAGTAATGTCTTCTAGTATTTTATATTTTATCTTATATTATATGCTTTATATGTCATTTTACATAGGCATTTGGCCGGTGAAGTGATAGACCCTTTTGGTAGGGACATTTTGTTGATTTTTCTTCATAGTCAAGAACAAGAACAATTATTCTACTTACCTATATTTGACTTCCTCATCTTAATGGAACTTAATTAACAAAGATACATATATGTTTAATAAATATTCTTATCCCAAGCATGACATTTCTAATTTCCTCAATTTAATACTTTAGTTTATATAGAGGGAGAGATTAATATAAGTATAAAAAATAAAAATAAAGGATTCATCGATTCAATTTTAATTTCATAAATGTTAGATGAGATTTCAAGTGATTTGGATTATGTTTTTTTGGACTATTAATGTAATGTCTGTAGCAATATTTC